CTATATTTCAATTATGACTAATAATCCCTTTTCAAAGGAATTGAAAACCATTGCACAGTATGCAATGGTTTTAAATATTAAGTAATAATAGCAAATTGGTAACTTTTAATTTATAGAAATAAAATTTAAACCTTTAGTTTTATAAAAAAGAAAGTTTCTTATTTGAGATTAATAAGGAAAAAAATTACATTGTATTCTACAACTACATAGTCTAATTTCTACTTATTTCTGATTTAAAATGAACTGCCTTAAAGCAATTAACTGTAACTATTCATATTATCATAAATTCAAAGAAAATCAATTAAATAAAAATATCCTTTAAAGAGCAATTAAAGATAATGCTACACATTAACTAAAGTAACAATTATAATTTAGTAAGAGTTAACAAATTCTCAACAAGTGTAAAATAGTATTGCCTGTAATTTTATTTTACCTCCCAAAGAAATACAGCATGGGATAATAACTTATTAACTTATAAATACATACCTATCCTTGTGCCCCTTCATGATAGTTCTTAGCATCAATACATCACTACAAAATACATCAATACAAAATCTGTGCTTTTCACTCAATCAGAATCTCTAAGCGTTTCCTAAAAATGAAAAATGGACTTCAACTGGTCTTCAGAAAATCCACTTTCTCATGTTTGTTTTTCCCAACATTCAATAAATACAGTGTTTTCACTATACTCAATAGACTGCAAAGAAGTCTGTTAACTTATTTGCTTTGTACTACACACAGCTACCTCAGGTACATCAATTACTACCATGGCAGTTTTCACATATATAAATTGTAGATATCCTATCCCAGGAAATCCACTACTTAAAAAAATTCCTATATAGGGGTGCTAGCAAATGAACATGGGAATTGACACCTTTTTCTTTTTCTCTTTTTTTCCTTACAAAGAGCCTCTATTTTTTCTTTTCTCATTTTTATTTTATTTTACTTTTTGTACAGGGGTTTAAACTCAGCATTACTTAACCACTGAGCCACATCCCTAGTCCTTTTTCAAATATTTTTTTTAGAAACAGGATCTCACTGAGTTGCTTAGGGCCTTGCTAAGTTGCTGAGGATGGCTTTGAACTCAGGATCCTTCTGCCTCAGCCTCCTGAGCTGCTGGGATTAAAGGCATATGCCATCGTGCCTGGCAAAGAGCCTTTTTCTTTTTTTAAAAGTTTGTTTTAGTGTGATCCAATATAGTAACATATATGATCAATGCACTTATACTCATTCCAAAAACAAAATTATTTTTATATGTATTTTACATAAAGATTTTAACATAAAAATTTTATAAAAAGTATTACTATTTCTATTTGGGAGAAATCATGAATGGTACCAAAGCAGGTGGCACAGAAACATAAGTAAATGAACACATTACAGAGTATTAAAAAAATTTATTTTCGAAAATGTGCATTTCTAATTTAAACCTTAGAGAACATTAGAGAACTAATGAACATTAGACATTAGAGAACTGATGAAAATATGTACATATCAAAAGTTATAGACTAGGTATTGCTTACAGAAAAATTTATAGATTTAAGCATGCATGTCAACAAGCTTGAAAAATGATAAAAGTAACTGAATTAAATACTTAACTCAAAAAAATAGGAAAAAACAATAGGTAAAAAGCAGAAGAGAAAAAGCTGATATTATAAATATTAGTGATAGAAATACAAAATGGTGCTACATATAGTAAGGAACTCTGGCATTATTTTCATAAATTGCAGATATCCTTGGCTCAATAATACAAATTATAGCAAATTAACTTGAAGATATATCTAATCAAGTATGAAATTATGGGTCGGGATATTCACAGTGGCAATGTAGATGGAAAACATCCAATATTCATTCATCAATGTACCAATGGAATAAATCCAGTCCATGCACATGATTAAATAGTATGCAGCCATGGAAAAAGTATTAGAAACACTATAATAAGTTGTTAAGTGAAAACACACACACACACACACCAGAAAACAGTATTCAAAATATGCCATATATTGTGAACTATGAGCATAATCCATGTTTTCTTAGATATGGGTAATATAATATGTATCATACACAAATGTTATATATATGCAAAGATATACATGTTAAAGGGTAAATATATGCAATATGAAATATACAAAATATCCACAAATAAAAGAAAATGGGAGAACAGAATGAAGAGGACACAGACATAATCTCTTTGAGTATGCCTTTTTAACAAATGGGAAAAGCAAGCTAATTTTAAATATCAAATTCATAACAAAATCATGAATTAAAAGACTTCAAATGATATTTAATCACATCTCCTTGGGGGACATAGTGTGAGGACAAAAACAAATGCAAAGAAAGCTTAGAATTAATTTAGTAATTTTTACTATTAGTAGTAACATTGGCATTGTTGTCTTGAAGCTATTTTATGGATAAGACATAGCAAATGGTTAATTTGTTGCCATAAACCAAGGATTACAGTATAAGAGAGAGAGAACTACAATAAAGTTTAAAAAGTTAATTTGAATTAGATATCAGTTTTGTATGTCCAATTTGAATTCACTGCACAGGACAATTACAATACCATAAAGAATAATCAGATAATTAGCTGAAATATTTTGAACCAAAAATTGGATTTCATAAGAATAATGTGGTGGGGTGGGGGACAAAGTAAAAGAAACAAAACTAAAATTAACACCACTGGAAGTAAATAGAGCCACTAAGATCTTACTCTAAAAATTTGTCAATGCAAATTGATAGAAACAGATTCATGGATTGCTTCTCTTCCTCAATATAATCCCATCCCACTCCCTGATATTTAATCTGATCAGACTTCCTAATGACTATAGGATGGAGAAGGAGGATAGGATTTTACACTTTTGAGATTCAAAAATCTAATCTAATTTCTTAATTAATAGATAATTTCCATTTATCTAAACCTTTCCTCTAGTAACAATTTCCACAAAGTTCTAACTAATTAAAGAATCTCTGCTTAAAAATTCTGGAGGAAATGATGAAATTAGAAAACTCACTTTGTATATCCCCTATCACATTAGTTTATTCATATTAATCAATGAATGAAAGCTTTAGAAGGAAGGTTGATGGGGGACTTTATATTGAAGAATACGAGTTATTATCAGTTACGCCCCATGTTCAATCATAAGCATCAATAAGGTAAACAAACACTGTATGACTGCTGATCTAATGAGATATGAAGCACAGAAAACTACCTAAGAAGGACTCCTGCAAAAGTAGCCAAATTTTTATTTAACCAGCTCTTTTGAGCTAAGGACTTCATTACAGGAAATACAGGGCATAGTGAAACAATTTTGATACTAAAAGAAAGTAAATGTACTAAGGCAAAATACAAAACATTCTATAAGAAAATGCAGGCTATGCAAAAAATCAATGGATTGGAAAAAAGAAGCAGTAGGATTGCTACAAATTAAGAGAGTTCAAAGGCATATATAAAAGCAATATTGTGGTTATTGTTCACATTATTATTCAAATAAACTAGGTACTTTAGAAAAATAGCAAAATTGGATTATTAATTATTAATTTATACACGGAATCATTCAATTTTATTAGGTGTCATAATGTATTGTATTAAGTAACAACAGACCATATTATTAAAAACTATTTTCTGAAATATGAGGGTATGTAAATACATGATTCTGGGAATTAGTTTTTTTAAAAAATTAGAACATAAGGGTGAAGCAAACATTGAATATAAGTAATAGTTATACAGAATGTCCATGTATTATTCTACTTTAATAAATGTTTAAAATTTTCCACAGTCATAAAGAAAGACATAAATAAAAGCAAACAAACAAAAGTAATATCAAGATGCCCTACAGAGAAAAAGAATCAAGATACAGTGTGTTTATTTCTATTCCCCAATATGATCCCATCATATTCCTTAATATTTTAGTCTTGATCAAATTCCTATTGGTTGTATGAAGGAGGGGAATTGGATGGTTCCTTTTAGGTCCCCCAAAAATGTAAGCTATTTGTATTGTTTGTATTGTTATCAAGATAAAGATTTTTATCAAGTTTTGACATTTTGTCAATCTTTGATTCTTCATTAACCATTATCAAGCCCCTACAAAAGCCCTTGAGAATATACCAAGACATTAAACAATAAAAATTAACAAGAGATTTTAAACAAGGTAGTGAATAACACAATGAGATTTTTATTTTAGAATTATTACACTGGAAACAATGTATAAGTAAGTTGAAGTTGAATTTCAGTGGGTAGATGAAGTTGGGTGGTAAGAGATGAAACCACCACCATAACTCTTGACAACAAAGAGAAAGATGAGGCACAGCAATAGAAATAATTTGACAATGAAGGTGATAAATGATGAATTAAGGTCCCAGATGGGAGTGAAAGGAATAGTTGTAGAAAATAGAAGTACTGATCTTATATTTAAAAAGATGTTTTAGTTGCTGAGTTACATGGATTAGAAGATGTAGGAAAGAAAAGATAAATAATTATAAAGATATAGTGGTGGAGGGACTCAGAAGTTTAGGCACATTCAATCAGATGAATTCTTTCCTATGGTATGAGCAGTTTTAGCTAAAGAGGGAAAGTTCAGTACAAGAAATGTGTGCAATCAAGGAGAGTAGTGATAAAGTGTTTACCAGGAAATAGTTATAACAATTTCTGAGGAGTGGGAAAGCACAGGATTCATAAAAAATATCATAGCACCAAATTGGTGTTTATATGCTCTAGTGAAGCTAAGATCACTACTAAAGGAATGTTCCTATATGAAAAGAAACAGAGAAGGAAATATGCTAACAGACTAGTCACTCATTTGCTATAGATAGAATATATTCTTTTATATACATTAAAAACAATTTTATTTTTCTAATCTAAATTAAATAAGATTAAATAAATTACCATAATAAAACATATAAATTGGTAATGGTAGCCTGTTCTTTAAAAAGGAGTGAAACAAAATATAATCACAATGAATAAAAGTTTAAATGTTGAATAAGTATTAAAATTCCATTTTTCTTACCAATTCGAGTGATTTTATTATGCGAAAGTTCAAGATTCTGAATATTAGTGCAGCCATCCAAACCATGAAAGGAACTCAGTTTATTTTTATTAAGAAGAACAACACAGAGATTTTCCAAATTTTCACAGTTGATAGTCTCAATATGGTTTTCCTTAAAGAAAGAACAAATTTAATAAATTTTGTTTCAGTGGCTCATTAATTAAATATTTAAAGCTTGCAAAAAGAGGAAGGATGAGACTCAATCTCTAAATGAATACATGAATCTCAAATTGCTGAGATAATTACAAACTATTTTACTATCTAGATGAAAATATTAAGTAATCTAATAATCAAATAATTTGAATTTATTTATTAATATTCTTTTTAAAATGTTGAAAATACAGAGGAAAATATAGCAAAATATTTTGAACAACCTAAATGAACAAGAGAGAATATTTTATCATTGCTGTTTCTGCTGATGTGCATGGGAATGGCTATTGTAGTCAAGCAAGCACTGCTTCACCATTTATATGGGTTTGAATGGAAGTAGATAACTTTTCATTTTATTTTGCAGATCTCTCAGGAAAGAACTATACCTCAGTGGATGCACCACCCAAGGAATTGCACCTGAGGAATTTCATCTCTAATTGGATCTGGTTTAGATAAGAAAATCCTGTGCTTCAAGCCTGGGTCAGATGACATAGATTGATACAATGATGGACATGAATGTATTTTGCATGTGAGAGGAGGTGAATCATTAGTAGTCAGAAGGTAAATGTGATAGTTACTTTGATAACTCCAGTATTCATAGATTCATACACTCTCCTTCCACATGAACATATGGCTTCCACAATAAAACATTAGCCATCATGAAGCAAGCAGATCTAAGCACTCTAAAAAGAAGCCCAAAATAACTATGAGAGATTCCAACTTCCCAGACATTCCTGTCAAGGCATCACACATTAAAGAGAAGGAATTTTAAACAGTCACCACCTAACTTCCATCTGACCACAATTACATGAGTCCCAGTCAATGCAATATAAAATGGAAGAAATGTCCAGCCATCCCTGGTCTCAATTCATGACCTATTGAATAAGAAAATAAGATGACTGTTGTTTTCAGCTATGCAGGTAGTCCTTTGTTATGCAGCAAAAAAACAAGCAAACAACCAAACAAAAACCCTGTATCATCTGCAAAAACAAAGAGAAAAGTAATTTCCAGGATGTACCATCTAATCATCTTTCTCTTATCCTTACAAACATAGATCCTTGATCTCTCTAGATCTGTTACAGACTATTTTAGTAATCATTTCTTCAAGTTACTTCTGAAATGTGAACATAAACTCATTTTATATTTTATCATAAAATAACTATTAAAACAGGGGACATACCTGTACATCAATGTACTTAAGTTTTTTGCAATTATTCAGGCCGTGTAAAGAAGTTAATCCACAGCATCGAAGGGATAGAAATTGAAGATTTGTACACTCCGACAATGTGGAGAGACTACAACCTGGCAAATCTTGAAATGTAATGATTGTAACCTACAGAATTCAAGAAAACTGGGGTGAGTAACATTATTAATTACACAATATAAGCCATGTTAATGTTGTGAAAATGTTTAGAAAATTCATATAAGAAAAAAATACTGTATGTTGAAATTAACATTTATTAACAACTCAATTTGTGTAAAGCTATTTGGTCTCTTTTGGTCCCCTACATAGAAAAATGAAATATGAAATCATCCATTACCAAATTCAAGTTCAAAAATAAAATACATAAAACAACAATATAATAATTTATTAGTTCAATCCCTGATTTTGTACCAAGTCCACTTATTTCATATTTTATTGCCCTAGACATCACATTACACCACATAAAAGTCTATGATCTGTGGTTAACAGTATCTTAGAGATCCCTGGATGGTAAAGTCAATGGGAGAATCATATTTTCATGGAATATAAAGAAGGAATATAGTTTGCTCTTAACAAAAGCAATAATATATTTAAAACTTCAAGTAGAGTTTCTATTTTCATAATTACTTTAGGAATATCTCAACTACTCATAATCTAAAGCAATTTTAAAGCAAATTGTTTTTCATAAATTTTCTGAAAGAAAATATTCCTCTATATAACAATAAAGTATGTGTCGCCTGTTAAATCTGTATGCAAACAAATATAACTTCTATAATTGGAAAATTTGCTCAGTAATAGTGAAAATGGAGGGCTTAAAAACTGAAAATTTGACAATCACAGTTATATATTAACCATGTTACTCTGCATCATAATTTATATTACCTTTCTGATTTAATAACATACTCTTTCAGCCAACTGCTTTCAATCAACACAATTAAATTCTAGTTATTTAGGATGTAGCAATTTCTATAGTTTCATTTCATTACTGCACAGAAGTAACAACTATTCTGATTAGTAGCATCTATTGTTGAAATGGAAGAGTTTCCTAATATTTCTTCCTTTTTATTTAACATTTAAAACAGTCCTTATGGGATAGCAATGTCTTCTCTACTGCACCCTAGATTTTTACAAAAATATGATATAAAAATACATTTTATATTAATCATTTATTGATACACGTATGATAATAATCACATAAATAAAAGACCTTGTGCTCCAAAACTCAAGTTCAATACACTATTAGTAAACATATGCATCCATGATTGTACAATCAGCTTGAAAAACTGGGGCACAGAAGATGTTAACTAAGTTTGTTAGATTAGTTAATGAACAAACTGACCCATAATTAGTGGCAAACCTTAAATATACTCATAGAATATGTAGTTTCTCTCCTTTTAAATAAAAACTTGAAAATTTTTATTTCATGCTCTCTGACTTAAAAAGAAGTTCCACATAGAGAACCTCTAAATCATTTTATTAAAGATCACAAATAAAATTTCTATTTAATCAACTATATTATTTCCAAATCTTTAATAGCTAGTTGTAACCAAAATGACCTAAAACAGATATATGTGATAGATATAGATATATTTATATGTCTGTTGTTTGTTATTTAGAGATTTCATTCTCAATTATTCTTGAGTTCAACCTAAAGTGTATCAGTTATTTATAGTAAACTGTAATTGCAAAAGCAATGAAAGCAACAACTGTTTTTATGTTTCTAAGACATTTTTTAAGTGCCCCAGTCTCAGATCTATTCAATAGGAAAAAATCATATTAGTCTCAGGTATGATTAGTGGTTTACATGAACAGTTTGAAAATAACTTTAGTAATTCATGTACCATTCCAATAGCAGCCCATTACAATTTCTTGTGTAAAAGTGAGAAATGTTGATCTAAAAGTTAATTAGCAGTTAAAATGTTATCATTCATGTTAGGTATAAAGAAATATTAACCATTCCTTAAGCTCAGTATCCATTTTGTGGTGGTTGTTACTTACAACTGGTTATAATTGGTAGCAAAATGCCAAAAAGAAAAGAAAAAATGATTTGCTAAAACACAAAAGCTAGGAAAAATAAAAACATCTATAATCATTGTTCTTCAGTAATTTTCTTTTGGTATATTATTACATATAGTGAGATGGTATAGTATTTTCAGCTGTATAACTTCTTAGATGAAACAGGTATCAAGCAGGTCTCAAAAATCCATTTGCCTTTCTCATCAGATTCACACCCACATTTTACAATTGACTATTACATATGTAAATGTATGTATGTATACACAAACACACATACATGATGATGAGCTCTAGGTCATGTTTTTTGAAATAATGTGTTAAAACTATAAAATAGACATTGTTTTTTCAAGTTTATGAAAGAAAAAACTGAGGCTCAGAAAGGTCAATATTCTTGCACAAACTTATGAAGCAGTAAATAGTTCTGCCAGTAAATATCAAAAATTAAATTAAAAAACAAGATCTTAATACAGAGCTTTTAAAACTTCATTAAACTCAAATAAAGTTTGTAGTAGTTTCCTTTTAAATTAATCTATTCTAAACTTTGAAGCTAGCAGTAATGTAGAAATAAGATTAACATTTAGCTGGATTCATTTATCCATCCATATTTTCATCCTTGCTACTATATACTCAAAATCACATTCCTGGAAATAAATAAAGAACTGTAGAAAAAATGAAGACCCGATTCAAGTCCTAAAGTTTCAAAGTAAGAGATTATATGAGCAAAATGAATTCATTTATTGGGTGAAATTCCAGAAGAGTACACATTTCTCTTAAAAATTCTCTCCACTAAAGATGGCAGTAGTGACAAGGATAAGGAGAAAGACATGAATCTAAGAGATTAGAAAATCAAAGTAAGTGATGGATAAGTTACAGGGTGAATGAGGACACAATGATAAGACATCTGCCAAAGAGAATTACATGAACAGTCAGGAAACAAAAGATAGTATTATATAAACAAAAGATAGTATTATATAACACCTGACCATTTATATATCCATTTATATTCATGCACATTTTTCATCTTTATAATATGTATATATGATGCTTCAAAGAAAAATTAAACCTTTAAAATAGAGGCTTTGAGTAATACTGAGAGGATTATAGGGTCTTTTAGAAACTGTTAGTCAAATTAGTTCATGAACCAGTGACATCATCCCTCAATGACATTGAAAACATGCAGAATCCTTTGGTCTGTTAATCACAAGATCCATCATATCAGAATCAACATTTCACAAATTCTCAGGTGATCTATACACATTATGGCTTGCCAGGCCTTGCTCTAAGAAGTAAAATAGAGTTAATCTTCATTTTATCTAAATTGGTAAGAGTTCCAAAGAAGGAACAGAGAATTGGCAGGAGGTAAAGGAGAAAGAGCTCATACATCTTTTATTTCCTTAGTGCTCTTCTCACTGAACAGACTAGAGATCTACAATAAAGGGGTAGAGCATTATTGTTTCTCTAATTTCAATTTTACTTTTAAAATTAGTACATTTTAGGCATTTAGTATATTTTAAGTTTTCACTATTACCTAACTCGAGTAGATATTTATAATGAAAACTACTTAAATAAGATAATTACTAAAGTCATCATATTGGAAACCTCAAAACAATGTCTTGGGGAAAGTACATGAAGAATCATTCCAGAGATAGCATAGCCCAAGGAAAACAATAAAGAACAAGCAATTGGGAATTCTATATGTAGCTCTATAGAACTGATAGATCTGGTAATACATTGCCTAGGAAATAGAAATACTTCAAAATATATGTTCTAGTTCTTGTTAATTGTATTGTTTTTTTTCATGGTTCAGCTGTACTTCTGAAACTTCCCTATTTCATCAATCTATCAGAGATTACCCCAAAATCTTATTTGCAGAAATTTTCAAGATCTATAATAATGTATTTATCTATGCATTTGTTTAAGCTCCATAGTGTAACATTAGGTTTGTTGTTCTTGTCTCTTGAGTAAACCAGTAAATATTAATCAATCATATTGAACAGTTAAATAAATAAATATTGGCTGAGGAAATGAATAAGATAATGTACTAATACAAATGTTCATTTTGCTAGTATCTATTGATACAAAAATTTAAATGAGTATATTTGACTTTCAGGGTTTAACTAAATTATGTGTATTTTATTCATAAATCCTTTTAGTATTGCACTGTTTAAAATATTCTTTCCTGTTTTTCTACACATTCCCGAGTTTCTGTCTTAATCTTGGTTGTAACTATGATCTCCATAACCACTAAAAATATGTAGCATTTGGTGAGAATTGTTTTTAAGTTTGAAGCAGATATATACCACATTTATAAAGCACAAAACAAAATAATTGTGTTTCTGTATAGGAATTCTAGAGTCTTCTATCAAATAAATTTTTTCACAGCAGTGGTCTCATATAGAGAAATTCATTACATTCACCACTAGGTGGTGTGGTAGCCCATATGGAAAGCAAATGCCTGAGTATCAAATTTCCTACCCTAATTCCAACTCTTAAATTTGTAAATACTTCCTTACATCCTTAATAATTGCTATAGGACTCTTGTATGCAACCTTAAAGATATTGAAAAATGTAAATCAAAGCTCTGTAGAGTTCTTAGGGAAGCAATGCCCTGAAGATGATGAAATTTAAAAAATAAATCCCCTCCCACATGGGGAAATATTTCATTATTAACTTAAGTCTATTAAGAGACAGTTTCTTATATACAAAATTTAATTCTATTAAAATGTAAAGCTCCACTTTTGAGAATTGGGTTAAATATTAAAAAGCATTATGAAATTAGAAATACCTGCTGTAGAGTATTCCAACGGCCATACTGAAGAATTTCTAATGTGCTCAGAGGAGGCATTGTACTAGCTAAGCATTTCAAAGGTCTCTTTCTTTTAACAATTTTTTTCTGCTGATTTTGACTGAAAATTTCAAACCAAGGTTTAAATGATTTTAGCCAAGCTAGTCTCTTCTCCTCAATAGAAGATAAAAGTGTTGACTCTAGTTTAGAGGTTATGATCCTTTCACATTCAGCCCTGTTTTCATGGCACTCCTCTGGAATTTCATTAATCTCAGATATAAGAGAGTTTTCTTTGTTAGCAATCCAGGAGCTTTTTGTATTACAGCCACTAAAATCTTCATGAAGAGCAAGTCTATCCAAAAAGTAATCTTGCTTATTTATTTTGCCTTCTCTATTTACCATGGCATCAGTGGTGTTAAAGAACATAATGTCACTATTTAGAGTATTGTCTTTTGAGTTTTCTTCAGCTTCTTTGGATTTTAAGTTAATTTCTTTTTCTTGTAGTATTGGATATTCCTCCATAGTTTCAGCATTTTCTAATTTTAATGGTAGTAGTTTTTGCTTTATTGAAATAATGGAAGTATTCTCTTCATATAATCCATTCCCTTGTGATATCTCTTCTTTTTCTACTTTTTGTATCATTTTCTGTTCATTAAATTCTATTATTTTCTGTGCTTCATTGTTCTTCACATCATTCATTTCTTCATTACATTCTAATATTATTATTTGGACTTTTCCCCCCTCATTTTCCTTTATGGCATATTCCACCTGTTCCTGGTTTTGTGTTTGTGTCTTTAATTCTTGCTGAAACTGTTCAATCATATTTTCTTTTAGATCTAAGATTTCTAATTCAGTTCTTTTGTACATATCTTCATATTTTATTTCTTGCTTAATCATTTTTTCAGAACACTGTTTTTTTGCTAGGCTGTCATTTGTTTCTTCTATTTTTAATTCTGCCAAAATGGCTTGGTTTGATTTCAATTGTTCTTGTATTGGTTCTTTCAAGACAAACTGACTACCTATATTTTCACTCTTATTCAATTTCTTAACTACCCAAAGAGGAACATTTTCCTGCTTCTTTGAATTTTCATACACTAATTCTTTGGCTATCTCACTCTTATTCTTTGACTTATCTTCAATAGTTAAATGTTTGGCATTATGTTCTCCCTTCTTCAATGTGGTATTTATTATAAGCTGTTGGCTTGCAGTTTCTATTAATTTAAATTTTTCCTTGTTTTGTAGTTCTTCTCTTTCTCGTCTCAGGATGTTCTTTTTTTCTTCATATACTTTTTCCCTCCTTTTTCTTTCCTCTTGCTTCTGTTTTTTTATCTCTTCTTCTATCCTTTGTTCTTCCTCTAATTTTTTCCTATTTTCTTCCTCTTTCTGTCGTATATTTGCTTCCTTTTCTTTCAACTCTTTTGCTTTCCTTTGTTTTCTTTCTATTCGGTCTCTAATTATGGGGCTATATTTTTGGTAGATTATGAATGCCTTATATTTAGCTTGAATTTTTACAGCTGCATTATGCTGCAGTTCTAACAAACGCATCTTTTCTTTTTCTTGTAGATCCTTGAACCTTGTTCTTTCCTCTTCCATTTGTACATGCAAATTTCTCATAAATTCCTAAAATAAGGTAGGATAGTAATAACATAAACAAAATGTGTTATTTTATTCAAATATCATTTAAAATTGTAGATTAAAAATAAATATAAAAACTGAAATCATAATGAAATTGCGATAACATTCACTTAAAGCGATTAAAGTAATTTATTTTAAATGGTATTAATTTTTAAATATTTAAAAGACTGTCACATGGGTAAGTTGGTACTCTAAAATTATGAAAATAATAAACCATCTAAATTATAAAGATACTAAGCCACCTGGGTATAAATTGAGGGATTCTTTGAGATAGAAAGCATATGAAATCAGAATGACACAGGAAAAGAAAGAAAGAAAGAAAGAAAGAAAGAAAGAAAGAAAGAAAGAAAGAAAGAAAGAAAGAAAGAAAGAAAGAGGGATGGAGGGAGGGAGAAACCACAAGCCAAAATTTATGTATGTGAAAAGGAATTCAAACATTCTGTGATGGGCAATCTAATAAAGGACATGGAGAGCTAGCACTGAACTACAGAGCATGAAATTCTCCTATGAGCCTTAGGATACCAAGAAGGTGAAGTAGCCCATGTGTGTAAGCAATATTAAGAAACAGTCTATTCACATATTTCATTCCTTCTCAGCTCTCAAGAAAGTTGATATATACATAAAATGAGATAATTTGAAGCTAGGTAAGAAAATATCATTATCACTAGAATCTTAAAACAAAAACAAAAGGATCAAAACATTCAGCAAATATTTAAGGGAAACTAACATAAGGATGTGAGATAATGCATTTAATAATGCATTATTATTATTAAATGCGTTATTATTAAAAGAAGTATCAATTTCTGAGCAAAGAGAACTATTACACGAGATAAAACCTTAAATGTAGATGACTTTTCAGAAAAATATTTTTTAAAAACCTTACATAAACATAAAATGCAAGTGTTCAAATAAAAAATATGACTAACTCAAACCGAATGGCTGAAAGTAAAATGGCAGAATGTCTGATTATCTAAAGAAAAATTTCAAAAGTAAATATTTTCAACAAAGACGTGAAATATATGGCAGATAGGGGGAGGGATAAGGAATTGACCAAAAGTAGCTTCAGAATAATAAGGCAGTGAGAAAAGAAAAATGAAGGGAAGAAAATAGTAGAAAAACATATATTTTAAAATAAAATGCCATAGGACAAAGAGCTGAGTTTATTTAACTCTCACACACAACCTATTTTGATACGTGGTAGCAATATTTCAGAACCCAAAATAAGAGTTTCATGGAAAAAGAGCTCCACGAAAGCAAATACCATGTTCTTTATTATTCACAATTATATTGCAAACACTTAGAGAAGTGTCTGACATATAACAGAAAACTATCACATATATGCACATGAATTTATAAAGTGAAAATCCTAAAAGCTTCAAAAGAATGTAAGGACTAACCATAAAATTTACAACTGGCAAAAATAAATAAATACACAAGGAGCTACATCTTTAAATTACTGAAAATAAACAGCAATGAATATGAATTATACAACCAAATAAACTAATTATTCAGTTTTGCAAGCTAAATCAATACATTTTTAACTACAAAGACTACGCAAATTAACCATTCAAAAATATTTTCTTGACAACTATTTAGCATATACTCCAGGAAAAGTAAAAAGAGTTACACTGATTAGGAGAAGACTCAGGATTAAAAAAATACTAAAAAAGAAAGAAAGAAAGAAAAAGTCATTAACATTTAACACTTGAATTTTCTGTTCCATTTTCTTCTCCCTTCTATCATTTTGTTTTCAAATTCTACTGTTTTATTATTTTTTATTTGTTTTTAGGTAATGTGTTTTTCTTTTCCTCTAAGATGTTCCTAAGACTATTTTTTCCTGTGTCTTGAATTTCAGTAGCTGCACTATTAAATTCCCAGTGAAATTTTCTTTGTGCCTATCTTATTTATAAATCATTAGTCATCTCTGAATGTTCAGATTGATTTTTTTAAGGTATTTGAACTCTTTTCAGACATTATATCCTTACCCATTGTTTCTGCTCCATTCTCTCCATGCTCTTCTTTCAAGATTATCAGACAATTTTTATAACTTTTCTCTATGCATTATATGCTTCTTATGCTCTTTGTTTTTCCCATTTTTTGTTCTCTTTGTACATTAATTTGAATATTTTCTATTGAATTCTCTTCTCTTTGATCAATACTCACATTTGCTATGTCCAATATACTGTCAAACACATCCCATGAATTTTTAATTTTTATATTGAATTTTTAAACTCTACAGCGTATACTTGATATCTGATTATACATTTTAATTCTCTAAAATATTACACATCACCTTCTAACTTTTTTGTTAGTGATGATAGTTACAGTTATTTTAGTGGCTCCACTAAATCCAGTATTTGGATTATATACAAGTGGGCTACTATTCTCTTTTTTTTTTTTCTCGGCATTCATATGAATCTATCTTTTCACATGCCTAATAAATTTTTAGTTCAACAAAGGAAATAATCAATAATGTAAAGAGAGTGCCCACAGAGTAGGATAACATCTTTACCACATACACACCAAATAGAGCAGAAATCTCCAGGATAAATAAGAACTCAAAAAACTTCAGACCAAAAAAATAAATAACCCTATCACAAATGGGCTAAGAAACTGAACGGACACTTCTCAGAAGAAATTAGTGAAATGCAATCAAAACTAATCTTAGATTTCATCTCACTTCTGTCAGAATGATAATTATCAAGAAAACAAGCAATAATAAGTGTTGGTGAGGATATGGAAAAAAAGGTACACTCCTATATTACTGGTAGCACTGCAAATTAGTGCAACAACTATTGATAGCAGTATGGAGATCCCTTAGAAAACTTGGAATGGAACCACCATTTGACCTAACTATCCCACTCTTCAGTCTATACTCAAAGGACTTAAATCAGCATACTACAGTGACACAGCCACAACAATGTTCGTAGCAGCTCAATTCACAATAGCTAAACTGTGGAACCAACCTCGATACCTTCAACAGATGGATAAGGAAACTAAGGTACATATACACAATGGAATACTACACAGTATTCAAAAAATAAAATTATGGCATTTACAGGTAAATGGATGGAGTTAGAGAATATCATGCTAAGCAAAGTAAGCCAAACCCCAAAAAACAAAGGCAGGATGTTCTCTCTGATAAGTGGATGCTGATGCATAATGGGGAGAGAGGAGAGAATGGAGGAACTTTGGGCAAAGGAGAGGGAGGAAAAGAGGGGGCATGGGAGCAGCAAAGATGGTGGAAGGAGAAAAACATCATTAACATAGGTACATGTATGACTGCACATATGGTGCAACACTACATCATATACAACCAGAGAAATGAAAAGTTGTGCTCTATTTGTGTACAATGAATCAAAATGTGCCCTCATGTATAACTAATTAAAACAAACTAAAAAAAATATCTACAGTAGAATGTAGTTTTTCAGAAGTGTATAAATACTAAATAGATTTGAAAGAAATACAAACAAAAGTAATAATATTTAGCTGGATAACATGATCACAGGAAACTTTATCTACTTAATATATATGATTACTTAAAATAATTTTATATAAAAACTGAAGTGAATAAAAACCAAAATTAATACATTTATTATCATCAGAATCATCTTAAATTCAAATGTATTATTTAACAATTAATTGTGTTCAACAAACAGTAACTCTTCTTAACCATCTTTAAACATAATGAAATCCTTGTAATAGTATCTTTCCTTAAATCCTAAATGAAATTTTAGAATTGCAGTTTTATAAAGACACATTCATTGAACTAGTTATTTATTATTTGCAGAACATTCCATTTCAAGGAGAACTTCTGAGGATTTTTTTAATTGATTTTATTTTTTAAATACATGACAGCAAAATGCATTACAATTCTTATTACACATATAGAGCACAATTTTTCATATCTCTGGTTGTATATAAAGTATGTTCACACCAATTCATGTCTTTATACATGTACTTTGGATAATGATGTCCATCACATTCCACCATCATTTCTAATCCCCTGCCCTCTCTCTTCCCCTCCCACTCCTCTGCCCTATCTAGAGTTTGTCTATTCCTCCCATGCTCCCCCTCCCTACCCCTCTATGAGTCAGTCAACTTATATCAGAGAAAACATCTGGCATTTGTTTTTTTGGGGGGGATTGGCTAACTTTACTTAGCATTATCTTATCCAACTCCATACATTCACCTGCAAATGCCATGATTTTCTTCTCTTTTCTGAGGATTTTTTTAATGCTGCAATAAATTCTATATCAGCTAGGCAATATTATTTTAAAAAGGCAATTTCAAGCATAATAATTTATTTCAAATGGAGAAAGAATAATGTACTGATTAAAAACAAAAAATAAATACCTCATGCTGTTTAAATTTTTCTTTCCACATTTTCTCTTCTTCATGGAGCTCCTCATTCATCTTGTCCTGTTCTTGCTGAAAATATGATAATAATCAAGTGTTATTTTACTCACATACATATCTAAGAATATTATATTCATTATATATGATTCTCACAATTTATATTTCTACATAGTGATTAAAGATGACAACGCATCAAAAAGTCCTGGTTTAAAAACTTTCAATTCAAATCCAGTGTGAAATTAAAGCATCAGATAAATGATACCTAGGGTCCCATTTTTAGGACATAAATATGTTTACAACCTAGGAAAGCTGTTTTAGTTATCTGAACATGTTGCTCATATAATGAAATATGTTGGCTAGAAATACTGTTTGGTACTGCAAAACTTATAAATAACAAGATTGCAAACTGACTTTTACATTATAATTTTTTTTCTCTATACAGCATACCATTTAATTCACATAATAAATCAGTAAGTAATGGTTTTCCTTCAATACATTTTTATTAGGACATATTTATTTAAGACTCTTCAGAATAAAATAAAATCAATATAAAACAGAACCCTTCATCAAAAACTCAGCTTCTAGTATGGGAACAGTGCCACAAGTTTACACATTACCCCACTTAGCAGAATGAGTTTATCATAAGAGAAGAACTATAAAGGGTCACAGTAGGAATGGTTGTTATAATTACTGATGGTGAAAAGTTTTATGCAGGATATTATACTTGAAATGACTCGGTTTTCAAGAGGTGGAGTAGATATTTTCAGAATCTACTAAGGATTTCAAATAAAGAAAATGAATAAAGCTGTATTTTCAGAAAAATATTAAGTTTATTTCAAATAGGATTTGGGGAATAACAAGGGGAATACTAAGATCAGTGTGGAAAGTAAGATGTCTGTGTGAGAATCACTGAGAGCCTTGTGTAGATACAGTGGCAGGAGTGAGAATAGAAGTGAAAACTATGTTAATGTGGGGCTGGGGTTGTGGCTCAGTGGTAGACCAACTTGCCTAGCATGTGTGAGGCACTGGGTTCAATTCTCAACACCACATATAAATAAATAAATAAAATAAAGATCCATCAACAACTGATAAAAATATTTTAAAAACATGTTAATGTGAAATTGTTAAAAACCACCAACTGAATAGATACAAAGGAAGGGGGGAATTTTCTTTGAACCTATCTTATTCAACATGTGGTGCCTTTTGATGACATATAAGTGGGGAAATAAATTTTAAAAAATAGCCTTTTGACAGCACTGTGTATAAGACCAAAACACTTACAAAGTATAGTATACATTCTAGGCTAAACACTCAGAAAGGTTGAGCTACTTTAAAGTATCAGTAATATGTATTTAAGAGAAGATGGATGAAACAACTATTAGAAGGAAGAAAGTAATAAAAAGAGAGGTAAGGGTAAAAAATTATATTCATTTTCTTTCTTTCTCTCTCTCTCTCTCTCTCTCTCTCTCCATTCCTGCCCCTCCTCTCTTTTGGTTCATTAGCTTGGACTAATAACTGCTTTGCTTACTGAATATAAGAGAACCAGAGGAGGAACACAATTAAGAAAAAAAAGATAATGAATTCAGTTTTAGACATAAAAAGTGTAAGAGTTACATAGTATACTTTATTTTGTTATAAAAATAGATTTGGTTCTGAACAGGCATAGCTATGGATGAGGTTACCAAAAAAGTGTATGGATTAATAAGACAAAAAAGGCAGAGGGTGGAATCCTTGATAGTATCATTTACAAGGACAGCAAGAGAAAGAGAAGTGTAATATTGGCCATATTCTATTATCATATAGTATGCATATATGAACATGCAACAATGAATCCTACTATTATATACAAATATAATGGCCCTGTAAAATATGAAAAAACCAAAAGAAAGAATAATAAGTCTGAAACAGACATGGAGGAGGAAATAATAAACACGTAAGAAGGGAATAAAGACAGAGTGACTCCCATATGAATCAAGAGGAAAGAAAATGGTCCAAAATCAAAATTTTGCAGGCATAAAATGCTTCAGAGGCCTATAAGAACCAATAAAAAGCCTCATAATATAGTGTTTAGAGATCATGGATTTTCTTTTTGAAGAGCCATTTTTTTTGTTCAGTGGGGTAACCATGCAAGAACCCTAGCAGATTTAATACCATATCAGGGATGAGATCAGGAATATAATGAAAATAATTATTTTTTAAGAAGCTTGTCTATAAGTAAATCTAAAGAGCATCTAACATGAGACAAAACAAAGGTTACTACATGATTTTCTTTTCTTCTTACGATGGGAGAAAACTGAACCTGTTGATAAAGAATAAGAAAGGAGGAAGGGCCGGGGTTGTGGCTCAGTGGTAGAGTGCTTGCCTAGCAGGCATGAGGACTGAATTCCATCCCCAGAGCCACATAAAAATAAACAAATAAATAAGGCATTGTGTCCATTTAAAAAAAATGAGTAAGGAGGAAGCTTATAGAGGTGTTTAAGTGTATAGAAAACAAGCAAGGGTAAGTTGAAAATGGCAGACTCTAAAGCTAAGGAGAAAAGATAACCTTTGACAGAAAGAAGAAAGATTCTTACTGGGAGGAAACAAGGCAAAAAAAAAAAAAAAAAAGGATAAGCAAAGATGTTGAGGCTAACCAGAAACCAGATGTTGGATTAGATAAAAGAAGCAGTCTATGATTGATGCAAAAAATATAACGTGATTATTTGTAAACAACGAGAGAGGAAGAGTAGGATGGAACCACTAAGATTTATGACAACCATTTAGGGTAAGAAAAGCTCACAAAAAGTAGAGAAAAGAAATACTGGGAAGGTAGTAAATTATGTATTTAGAATACAGCATAAAATTGTGGAACAGTATAATTGGAAAAATTTTATGTTCTAAGGCATAATAAAGTACAAACTCGGTAATTCATTCAATCTACTCATCACATTTTTCTTAAATAATAATTTTATAATAAATGCTGATTAGCTTCAAAGAGTGTATTACAATTCTAATTTTTTTAGTAACATGGATTGAATTCAGGGGCACTAGACCACTAAGCTACATCTCCAGACCTATTTTGTATTTTATTTAGAGACAAGGTCTCACTGAGTTGCTTAGCACCTGGCTTTTGCTGAGGCTGTCTTTGAACTCATGATCCTTCTGCCTTAGCCTCCAGAGCTGGTGGGATTACAAGCAAGCACCACCACACCTGGCAAGTTACAATTCTTTCATAGTGGGGATTTCTTTGGTATCATCTAAGCACACAGGTGAATACTTTGCCCTTGAAGAAGTCAGTAAATTTTTATTATCATGCAAATAAAAACAACAACTTCACTAAGTAGAATTAAAAAATCAGATGTTTTCTAAATCTGAAAGTACCACTAACACTCAATTTCATTTATGTATTTCAGCACAAGCTAGAAAACACTCCTCTCATAAGCTACGTTATATTCAAATCTTTTCTGGAATTTTAAAAGAAGTTTCTAGTTTTAGAAATGACTATGTTATTGAGGTTTGTGCAAAGGAAAATATAACTACAGAAAACTTATACATAACTATTAGAAAAGGTTCCACAACATTTTTAAAATTTTTTTTAGATGTTGATGAACTTTTATTTTATTAATTTATTTATATGTGGTGCTGAGAATTGAACCCAGTGCCTCACACTTGCTAGGCAAGTGCTCTATACTGACCCACAAGCCAGCCTTAAGGTTCTACAATATTATAAAACTTTTTCTACAAAATTATGAGAGTTTTTAGTTTATTTATTTTCTATATAATCATGAAATAAAATGTACTCAACATGGAGGATTAGAATATTCTGAGTTGCCGAAATAATCACATGCAAATGTTCTCTATATGTAACAGTCAAAATCACCAAGTTCTGGATAATACATCTATCAACTTTGGTAATGAAAGACAAGACATGGTCTTGCTTGTTACCTAGACAATCTATGACCTTTATGACCTACATGTAGGATTCTAAAATCCTCATTTTCTCAATATGCCACTATGAAGACTTGACTGTGGATATCAGACAGTTTGGACACACAAAACAGAAATAAAAACAAGTTCAAAACTCTGTGCACTTCAACGGATTAGCTCAGTTATCAGGACATAGAATATCTCCTAAATGGTTGAACTACTTCTACCAAATATGTCATATTACATATTCTACATAATATATCACATGCTAGATCACATAGCAAAGGCACTGTTTAATCAATAAAGCTGCTATCTTTTCCTAAATTTATAATGTTATGGAAAAAAGCAAGTTTGTATTATAAATTTCAGAATATATAGCATGATCTTTGAAACTTAATATACTCCAGGGCTCCTAAGATACAAAGAAGTATATGAAATTCCTGTGCAATCTAATCAAGTAGCCCATATTAAATATCATTAATTCACAGTAAATTGCTTCCATTACCAGGAGCAATTAAAATCCACAGAATAAATTTCAATCCACACTGTAATACAAACAGCAATATTCTTCATAGGTAGCTGCATTTAAAAAATAGGTACATGACTTTTAAAATACATGAAAAAATCAGAACCAAAATGTACCTTCTGTATATTCTCTAATTTTTTCTTTTCAACCTCAAATTGTTTCATCCAGCAATGTCTCTTTTCTTCTTCCTCTTGAAATTGCTTTTCTTCTTTATCCCTCTGAGCTTTGAGAATTTCTTTATCTTTATCTTCTAGTTCTTTCTGTTTGTCTTGCCAGGCTTCAAAAGACTGTCTACATCTTTCTTCAACTTCAAAATATCCAAAATTTATATCAGCATCATCTGCATTCATAAAGAATAATAACAGTATTATTCTTAAAATCAAATCTGTACAACGTGAATCAATTTAACATATAAAAGTAAATTTGGCTGGGTGCTGTGGTACATGTCTATAATCCCAGCAAACACAGTAAGCTGAGGCAGGAGAATCATAAATTCGAGGTCAGCCTCAGCAACTTAGTGAGGCCCTAAGCAACTTAGCAGTGACACTGTCTCCAAAAATAAAAGTGCTGGAGAGGTGGCACAGTGATTAATTGCCTTTGGGTTCAATCACTGGTACCTCACCGCCCCCCCAAAAAAACAATAAAAAACCCATAATTTTAGATAATTAACATAAATATATTAAAAAAGAAAAGTGATAATATGCAAACACATTATTGAATACACATGGACATTCCACTGCAGTCAATAAAGAAGTCAAAATACTTGCCTTGCCTTAAAATATTCCATAAAAAGAAAACTATCCAATATTTTTTCAGATAACTATAATCAATCATACAAATTGTCAAAAATATTGAGCAGTGTGGCACACCTGGTAAAGCATGTTCATCAATAGGCAAGTCACAAAGATCAGGCTCAGGAACCAAGTCAGGATTTTCACAATGGGATTTACTTCTCATAAATTCTTCTTTTTCTATTTCAGTTAATATCTAAGAGGTTAAAAGAGTACCAATAATTAAATAAAATCAAGATAGAATAAAATTATGACTTCAGTAGTGAATTAAACATATATAATATAGAATTTTACTTTCTAAAACATCTGTATATACAAATCTACAGTGCATTGATAATTATTTTCCTCATGAATAAAAATATTTTCTCATGAAGAAAATATTTTACCCTCTCAATGTTTTCCAAACCCTAACCATTTTTTAAAATAATTTTTTGATAGTAGATGGACATAATACCTTTATTTAATTATTTTTATGTGGTACTGAGGATGGAACCCATTGCCTCATACAAGCTAGGCAAGCACTCTACCATTGAGCTGAAACCCCAGGGCTCAATTCATTTTAAGATTAATCTACCATCTTTAGTTAATATGTTTGATATTTTTTCAAAATGTTTCTATTAATAACTATTTTACTAATGCATTTCTTTCTTAGGTATAGTAATTGTTCCTGCATAAAAAATTATCAATGAATTCAATATGACAAAAAAGAGAGCTAAAAATTCTCTATTTACATAAGTGATATGCATAAGTGATAATTTTGATCAACACTTATCCATAATTTTATTCCTACAATACTCCAGTTGGAAAGATAGAAGATATTTATTCCAATGAGTCAGCAGTATGATAATTTAAAAAAATATTCTAATTTGCAGTACCACAGAAAGAGTAAGAATCAAAATTTTTAAATTATATTAAACATCTTAAGTAGAAACAGAGTTAGATAAGAGAGAGGTAAAATGAGAGTAAATTGAACCCAATGAATAAATCTGAGGAAGAGATTCTCTTTAATATATTTGTGAGGTTTTAACCCAATAAAATACTACACTCCCTTTTATTTGTATTTTTAAGAATTTTTTCTTTTATCTGCTTTTACAAAGTAATATAAACTCTTATACATTCAAAGTTTCTATGCAGTATTTAAGGTCTTTGCTGAAACACTGTAAATTTCTAAGAAAGATAGTAAACATAAGAATATATTCATTGTTTTCCTCTGAACATTTAGGAAAAAAATATCATGCATACTGGTTTATCTATATGAACATTAAACTTCCAAATACTGATGGCTCAAATTATTATTTTAACGTTCTCACAGACTGAAATTTGTGTGGTTTCATATACTATTCAAGAGGAAACCATCAAATAAAAAATGACTTGTTTAAAAACAATCATATTTTAAATCAGTGAACTTAAAATCAATGAACTCTCATCCTATGTAAGCTTAAAAGACAAATTTCTAATCGCAATATTGAGTATTTTCTGTCAAATGTTGAACATATACCTTCATTAGTTGTTCCTGATTTTCTTTATATTCAGTTGATAATCCTATCCTTAAATGCATATGATTATCAGAAACTGTTCCATAACTATAGCCTAAAAAAGGAAAATATATTATAATATTTTACAAAAAGTTTATAATACTTTATAAATGTAATTTTGAATATTAGAGTACAACACGCCAAAATCTTAAACACCTTCATCATTCTTTAATTTCAGCTTTTATCAGAATAACTTCTTGATCAGCAATAGGAACTCAATAGAACAGAAAAATGAATAAAGAAGAGAGGACATTTGTTGTATTTATTTTAAAAGTAAAAGCAATAAATTTCTAAAGCACTATTAACTCTTTACCATTTTAAAATTCTAGGCTGAGGTTTGTTTTCTATGAATTCAGAATCATGTAATGTATAATATTGCAATGGCACCTTGATTAGAAATCAACAAAGGTTCAATTACACCTGCCACAAACTAGCAATACAATCCTGCATAAGATAATGAAATTACTATAAGAAAAATATTAATTAATAATTAACATAATGAAGTTAAAACTTATTCTTTATTTAACAAAATTTTGTTGAATTTATTGTCTTTTTATTGTCTGCTGAAATGTATTACATTTCTTTTTCTTTATTCAATTAAAGTGTGATATCATGGTAATGCTCCCATTCTTCTTGTTAACTAACTATTCACACCTATTTGGTCATATATATTTTCTCCATCAATACCAATTCAAAATGTGTCTGACATGCCTTTCTGTGTGAGATGCTGAAAAGAAAAAATAAATTATCCAAATTACTTTGCAGCTAAGTTTTACATATAGATATATTTTTCCTAAGTTTTCAATGTCATATCAATAGTAAGTGTAAAGAGAAGTTTTTGATATTTTCATCTTTCTGGCCCACACTGTGATGATACAGGAGACTTTGAGTTGGAGACAGGAGTGTGTAGGAAAGAATTTATATCTCTGAACTTCTTAATTATGACAGAAACTTCTTCTGTACTATAGTTCTGAAATGTATGTTGAGGTTGTTTTACGTCTTGGATACACAGCCTAAAATCTGGGTCTCTTCAGTCCTGTGAACAGTAATTTATTGCAGTAGCTAGTTATCAAAAATGATTCTTCCAAAGAACCATGCCTCCTGTACGCATGTCCTATGTAGTTCCCTCCTACACTGAAATTAAACTAATGCTATGTAACTAAACAGGATGTGGTAGATATGATACTGTCTGACTTCTAAAAATAGGTCATAAGTCTTAGGTTCCACCTTAGTCTCTTGGTATTTTGTCTCAGAACATTGAGTTTCAGAATTCAAATGTTATATAATGAGAAGTATAAGCCAAAAGAAAAGGCTACATGAAGATGCCTCCAGTTGACAGGTACTTAGCTGAATTCCCCAATCAATAAGCTACATGAATTGCCAGGCATTTGAATGAGCCCTCTTGGAATCCCAGTACAGTTGAGCTTCCAGAGGATGATAGATGTAATCAACATTCAACAAAAATGCATAATAATCCAAGGAACAACTGCCCAGCTGAGCCCAGTTAACTCACAGAATCATAGATATTTTTAAAAATGTTATTTTAAGCCACTAATTTCATTTCACAACAATAAATATTCAGCACATTTATTCTACCTATAAAAGTAAACAAAAATCTTACTGCTTAGAGTGGCTCTGTTTTCTACAACTGAGGTTTCCAATCAATACAAATGTAAATTACCCTCCAATTTATTTTGTATGCTATCTTCATACAGATACAGATATTGATACTTTTAAAATAGTCCCATACTCAATTTTCTTTTCTTTAATGTAAAGTAATAGGAAACTGGTAATAATTAAAACTGGGGAAATAAGAATAGGCATGGGGACACACAACTGTAATCCCAGCAGCTAGGAAGGAAGCCTGAGACAGGAAGATAACTCCAATTTATTTTGTATGCTATCTTCATACAGATTTAATTTAAAATATATAGCTTTTTAAAGTGAATTATTATATAATATAAAAATTTTTGCTTCTTGATGTGCTGTAAGAATTCAGTTGGAAAATTTTTCCTAGTTCTTAACACTGAAGAAGAAATTCCTTTCTCCCTTCTTGCTACACTATTGATTTATTCATGTTTTTTAATTTTACATTTTTGATAATTTGAATTTCTTTGGAAAATTATTCCTTGATATTATCAAATCTATTTTATTAGAGCTGTACATGAGAACTTCTCATAATCTTCTGAACCACTGTTATTTTTCATGAAACTAATTTTCTACAATTGTGTTTTCTTTGAATTTTATACATTGATTATATGATTGTCAATATATTTGTAATATATTTTCATTATATAAATCTTAGTAAAAATAAACTATTATAATCCCTCATAGTTCAATTATAGTAAATATTATATATCTATTTATAATGGTACTACTGTCAGAAAACATGAAGTCACCCTTCCTCTTCTTTTTGCATCAATCCATCAGTAAATCCTTTTTTACTGTACCCTAAAAATGGTTGCCAGAACATGACCATTGTCCCTCATTTCTACTCAATCGATTCATCTCTAACCATATAATTCCAAGTCTTGTTGTAATATGACTATGTCAATGTGTTCTTTCTACATAATTAACAGAATGCAACTAAAATATTGCTCAAAAGGTAAGTCAGATATTCTGCTTACTCACTGCTCAAATATCAATGTCTCATAGAGACTCCTCTAACTGCCTTATTTAAAATAGCAACTTCCAGTCTCTATCCCATTATCTTGCATTTCTTCTTTCATAGCATTTATCACTATTGTAATATTCCAAATTTATTTGTTTATTGTTTGTCTCCCCACACTGAAACAGTAGAACACAAGAGTAAGACCTTTGCCTGTTTTGTTCACTGCTGTATTCTCAGTGACTACAACAGATTCTGTTATAACACTAATATTTGTTGAATGGATGTCTCTGAAAATCCATATGTTAATTTATACTATTTTCATAAAATACGTTGAACTTTAAAAGTTTTTAATAACAAAACATGACAAAACACGAACATTTTTAGATAGTTAAATTATTGATTTAAGTCCAATTTTTAATGCATGTATTATTGGACAAATCAAGGTCTGGTTGAACAATTAGCTTATTGTCATTTTTCATGATAAGACAAGAAGTGATTAATTCTAGTTAAATTTTGATCATTCCATTATTAGAATAATTCTAAGTAATATTGCCCAGTTCAAGCAAATAAAGTTTGTTAGGCTTTTGTATACAAAGACTTATTTCCCTCCAAAAATGTGTGCATATTGATACTTTTAAAATAGTCCCATACTCAATTTTCTTTTCTTTAATGTAAAGTAATAGGAAACTGGTAATAATTAAAACTGGGGAAATAAGAATAGGCATGGGGACACACAACTGTAATCCCAGCAGCTAGGAAGGAAGCCTGAGACAGGAAGATAACTCAAAGTTAGCCTCTGTAATTTACCAAGACCTTAAACAATTTAGCAATACCCTGTCTCAAAATAAAATATAAAAAGGGTCAGACATGTGGCTCAGTAGTTAAGTAACTCTGTATTCAATCCCTGGAACCAAATGAAAAAAGAAAATAACTGGAGAAACAAAATTATTTATAGAGATATAATGAAGATACTAAGAAAAAAAATATATGCTACATCTGATAGTTCATAATACTATAGATTATTCAGCTGATAGTTCATAATACTATAGATAATTTATTAGTGATAAAGGTACATTCATGTACATAGCACAAGATAAGAACAGTAAACAACTTAGTTTGCTAAATTATGTTATCCAAACTTACTGAAAACTTATCTGCCAATCAAATGAAATCTGAACTTACTTAAAACATTGGTGTCTTCTAAATCCTGAAGAAGGAGTTCTTCAACAGTTTTACTCTTGTTCTTTATAATGTTGATGCAGTGAAGAACTGACTCTGGTAATTCTTCTAAATCCTAAAATCAAAATTACACATAAAATATTCCTCTTTAAAAATTTGAGCAAAATATGCAAAGGAGGTAAAAGGGCTACAGAAAAGGTACAGTTCAGACAAATATTTTGCTAAAATTTGCTTTTTACTTTATTTTATGGAAGACCCTAACGAAACAAATGAAAAGTTTCCTACATATGATTTTATTAACTTTATTACAAGCTGTTTATTTTTAAGTGTCCTTAATTATTGTGTATATTTTAGATTTGTCTCAATGAATTTTATCAACTATTAATGAAAATTGCAAAGTTTTTTCCAAAATATATATAGGAACCAAATAGAAGAACCAATAACTTATATAAGAAATTAATACTTTCCAAAATTTACTCTATGACTATCAAACACAAAGTTAGTCAAATTCATGAATTAGGGGCTGGGGATGTGGCTCATGCGGTAGCGCGCTCGCCTGGCATGCATGCGGCCCGGGTTCGATCCTCAGCACCACATACAAACAAAGATGTTGTGTCTGCCAAAAACTAAAAAATAAATATTAAAATATTCTCTCTCTCTCTCACTCTCTCTCTTTCTTAAAAAAATCATGAATTATTACAAAATATCTATCAATATGGACTATGTAAATATATTTACAAATTTTCAAATTAAGTAAATACAGTGATAGTAATTTACAAAATGTAAAAATGCAGTAAATATATCCATAAATATTATAACTAGTTAGAAAATACGATACAAAGAAATAGCCATAATAACAGCAAATATTTAACATATCAGGAGTAATTTTAATAATAATCTAGAAACTAGAAATCCACATCTATTTGACTACAAAACTTCATTGATGGCCCTAAAAATACAATGCGGATGAATCACTTTAGATGTTTTTGATACAGAAGAACATTACATACACTGATTTCATCTAATAAAATATTTTCTGACATACTGGGTTTCCCTCTAATAAGTTAAGATTTTCAACCATATTTTTTTCTCTTCATGTTCACTAATAGAATTCAGTGCTTATTTTGAGAAGAGATATCAAAGATAAAGAGAAAAATGTTGCTTTTCCCCTTATCATTACAAAAAAGCAAATAAAATTCAATGTTATAAACTAATTCCTGGTATTAACTGTACTCTTCTATCCTCTGTCCTACATGAGATTTTTTATTTCTTGTTTGATTAAGAAGTCTTTTAAGATACCTGGATTGTACAAAATGTTATTATGTCCTGCCATATATAATTTGTAATTCCTGAATCTAAAAAAATGAGATATGTATACAAAATATACCAAGAAAATTAATATTCCTACTGAAAAGCATTTGTGTTAAAAGGCTTAAAAATGCAATACTTAACACTTACTGCATCACTACCTTCACTCTGAGTTTCTGAGTTTGACTCACTCTCAACCTCATCTTGTTCCAAGGAGGAAATACTGATTTTATCCAATTCAGCTTCTATCTCTTCTTTGAGTTTTGCATCATCATCATCACTGTCTTCCATCACTCTTCATATTAAAAAACAGAAAATAAAAATAAAGAGGCTATTATGTCTCTAAAAATTGTGTGTTCTTTAATTTTGCATATCAGTCCAACATGTTTCATTCAAACCTATTTTAACAAACTTTTATCATACCTTATTATGATTGTACTATATGTTAAAGAATATTGTTTTACCGCTTCATTCACTTATCTTTTCAAAAACATATTTGACTATAAAATGTTCAAATCTAATATTAATTTTATATTTTTTTAAGAGAAAAAAATATGGAATGAACTGGCTTACCTTCTAAAATCAAGAGATTTCAAAGTAAAATTCCACATGGGCCCAATTAATAAAAACAACATTGAATATTTTGAATATTTAGAGATTAAAATACTTAGAAAATAATAATCTAAGTATGGGCAAAGCATATGGCTTTTTTGTAGTCATTGAGAATGCTGGTAATTCTGTCATAGATATAGTTAGCCACAGCTTTTGCTAACATGACACGTAATGGCAGATAATATATGACAATCTAAATATTATACATATAACCTAAACTTTATAAACTATGAAATAGCCTAAGTGTTTATTTTATTTAAATTGTTAATGCTTGTAATGGATATAGGCACAGCAATGTATTATAGCATATTTTCACATCATCATTATCAAGTTCACTACCACCATCATTAGTTTCCATATATAGAGTATCTATAATAAGCCAGGTAATAGAAGATACTTAAGTAAATTACGAATATTAAAAAAATGTAACAGGATAAAGATGATTGTAGTCCTTGTATATATGACAAAACCAAGGTTTGAAGATGTTACTTAACTGTCCAAAATCATTATGCTATTAAGTAACAGGGCAGAATCTTAAGTCAGATATAAGAATTTTAAAGTCAGTGCTCTTTCTACTACTAAATGGTATCAACTCAGCTGAGTTCATTATCTATCCGACAATCCCTCTGTATGCCATCACCTAGTCCAATCGTGTTCAAATTGAAGGTTAGGACCCATTAATTGATCAAGAAATTAATTGATTAAGAAATTATTCACTCTTAATCACTAAGTTTTAGTGATAGGATGAGAAAGGAAAGGAAGTGTTAGGATAGCCTAGAAAACAAAATATAATGATTCTATATATTAAGATAAAATTGTTTAAAATTTTTCAGTTATGAATACACACATACATATGCACATATGCATGAGTTAAATGAAATATATTTTATTAGTACTTTTTTATTTACTGTAGATCTTAGTCACATAGCCACATCAATGTTTATAGCAGCTCACAATAGCCCTTCAATAGATGAATGGATAAAGAAAATGTGTTGTATATATATACACAGAGGAATATTACTCAGCCATAAAGAAGAATGAAATTATGGCATTTGCAGGTTAAGGATGGAGCTGGAGTGTATCATGCAAAGCGAAATAAGCCTGTCCCAAAAAACAAAGGCCAAAAGTTTTCTATGATGTGCAGATGATAATTTACAATAAGGCAGGGGCTAGGGAAGAATAGAGGTACTTTGGATTATGCCAAAGGGAGTAGGCGAGGGGAGGGGATATGGAGCTAGGAAAAACAGTAGAATGAATTGGAAATTATTACTCTATGTGCATATATGACAACACAACCAGTATAATTCCACATCATTTACAACCAGAGAAATGAGAAGTTATACTCTATCTACGTATGATATATCAGAATGCATTCTATTGTCAGGTATAAGTAATTAGAACAAATAGAAAAACTTTTTAAAAGTTTGAAATATATCAATCAGCTCTTATTTTATTTTTCAATACACTCTTCCAAACTTTCATTGTTTCCTGAAGGCACTGGCCTTTCTACCTGTGTTCTTGTTCTTTTCTTCCTTCCTTATCCTTTTCCCCATTCCTTCCTTAATTCATTCCTTTACTCATTCAATTCAAAACTAACTTTTTGAGAATGTGCAACATGGATTCATAGCAGTGCTGGGTGCTACAAATACATTGATTAAGTATAGTGTGGTTAATAAAGAAGATTAAATACCCTCACTTCACTATTTCTTTTCATGAATCCCCTTCTTATCCATCCTTCAGGAATAGGAGCTCCTCTCCCTAATAAACTATCATACTTTACCTGTAGGCTGATTCTAAAAACTTCTTACTTACTGAACATTGTTTTGTACATTATTTCTGTGTTTACTACTTTATCATACATTTTTTATTCCTTTGTTCCTCCTCTCCATAAAAACATGACCAAAACCCTGGGACTCTCACTAATGATAGATATCACTTATCTTTCTTTCACAAATAAGTGATTTAATCAGACTGATTCCATGTGTGTTGGCTGAAATCCTAAGAACTTATCCTAGAGAAATGAAAACTTAGATTTACACCAAAATTTTTACATAAATGTGCACAGTAGCTTTATCCATACTAGCCCCCAAATGAAAAAACACAAATGTCCTTCAACAGGTGAGTGATTAAATAAACTCCAGTGTATCCATACCATTCAACACTACTCAGCAATCAAAGGGATGGACTATTGACACACACAACAATACAAGTAAATCTCCTTGCAACTATGTTGATTAAAAAGTAAAAAACATGATTTCATTTATGTAACATTTTGAAATCAGAAAAATTAATAAATGAGGACAGTTTAGTAGTTAAGGTGTTAGAGAGAGCATGAGTTATAAAACACCATCATGAGGGATTTTGTAGTGCTAGAACTATTCAGTGTTGGTGGCTGAAGATAAATGAACTTATTCAGATGATTAAAATTGCATAGAACATAGTACACATAAAATAAAGGAAAACTGAATAAAATTAGTAGATTTTTATCAATGTCAACATTCTGGTTATATTACTGTATAATTAACAAAATATTACCATTGGGAGAATTTGCAGAGTACAAGAACATTTTTGTACTCACTTGTAAATCTAATAAAATTTTAATTAAAGCTATACTAAGTATGCACAAAGTTACATAAGTTATGGCTCCATAGAACATGGTGCAAATTATTTAAAATGGTACAATTACTATTATTCTTGTAAGAAAGTATCCAAAAGGACTAACTAAAAAAAAGCAAATGGCAAGAAAATAGGACAACAGAAAATCTCTTTTTTGGTAACTACACACACATACACACACACACACACAGACACACACACAGAGTTTTTAGACACAAAAACTTCTTGAAGAAATTGGGGAATTTTAACAGTTATGTCATACCTTCATGTTGACTGATTTTTTAAAAAAACATGAATATACACTATTTTCATAATTTTAAAAGCTCATTTAGAATATTCAATTTCCCACAATCTTCTCCCTTCAAAACACAGCAAAACAACCAACAGAACAATACTAATAATTTAATTCCAAGTAATTCAATAGCTTTCTTAGGCAAAAAATTTTTTAGACTTTGTTAATGTGCTTATAAAATAGAATGCACAGGTACATGAAACTTTATATAGAAAGAAGGGCAAGCAAATAGGGTGAAGGTAAGAATAATTTCCGTTATATTTCCACTTCTGTTTATCTCAGGTTCCTTACACAAGCCCCATCCAATGTTTCCATATCTGAGCACAAATGCAAATTTACATTTTACACATCAACTGTTTAAAAAGAGAAGCAGATTAATTTTAACATATCCTATTTAACAAATATTCAAATATCATTTCTGCTTATAATGAATAGGCCAGCACCATGGTCTACTCCTGTAATCCCAGCGGCTGGGGAGGCTGAGGTAGGAGAGTGGAAAGTTCAAAGCCAACAAAAGGGAGGTGCTAAGCAACTCAGTGACACCCTGTTTCTAAATAAAAATACAAAATAGGGTTGGGGATGTAGCCCAGAGGTCGAGTGTCCCTGAGTTCAATCCCCTGGTACCAAAAACAAACAAACATATGATGAATATAAAGTATTATTATCACTATTTTATTTATTTGTTTGTTTATTTATTTATTTATTTGGTACTGGGCCATGAACACGCTAGGCACTCACTCTACCACTAAGCTAAATCCTCATCCCTAAAAGTTATGAGTTATTAAGATAAAAATTAAAATTTGCACTGTTGTTCTGCACACTAAGTCTTTGAAGTCCGGTGGGTATTTTACACCTACAGCACTTGTCAACAGACACCTGCAGCTAGTGGTTTCCTTCCCGGACAAGACTGGCTGCTCTCGTGAATCCCGTAGTAAACTGGCGATGGCAAACCATTTCAAATTGATAAGGAAACGCTTGAAGGTGGAGAAACTGCCAAAAGTGACAGGGCTTAAGTAACTCCCCTCTTTGGTCTCTACAGAAAAAGGAAGGGAAACCTACTTCACGAAGTAACAAAAATTATTTGTGTGTGGAATCATGAAAGCAAGAGAAAGGGAGGGAGGGGAGGAGAGAGGAAAAGAAAAGAACTGGCACTTGGTGTATTTTAGGATGTGGGGGAGAGGGAAGCGGGGTGTTAACTATCAAAGGCTCCGTAGGCGGCCAAGTTGGATCTTAAAAGTTCTAAGGGAGTTTCCAGAACTGAAAGGAGCCTCGAGGTGAGCGGACTCGCGCGCGGTTTCTCTCTGGGCGCGCGGTTTCTCCCTTTCCTGGAAGCCTCAGGGGGTCCACCTCGCTCTGCGCTTCCGCAGCTCGACCTCGACTCCCCCAACCCAAATCTCAGCATTGAAGGGTCTGGCTCACTTACCAGCAGCAAAATTCCCTGGTTTGCTCGTAGGACAGCGCCCAGATCCTCTAAACAAATGGTAACCACGGCAACAGCCAATCCCAAGAAAGATGGAGCAGCTTTCCATTACAGGTGCCCCAAAAGGACAAATAACCTCGATCCTAAGTTGGAAGGAGCGCTGCACTTCAGTAGCAGGAAGAGGAGTTTAATTTCTCTTTCCAGGTACATTTTAATGTTTAAATAATTTTGGGAAAATAATTAATGAAAAAAATGACAATTTTCTATAATTATTCGAGTAAAGGTAATCTGACTTTTCAGTTGTTTCTGAACTGTCTATATTCATAATTATAACTAGTGAATGTTGAGTTGCCTGTGTATAAATTGTTCATTCTACAGAATCTTAATCCTGAATAGTGATTTGTGGCACCTGGCCTTATGAAGGAGAAGTCAATAAATTGTTTGCTTTCCATGACAACAGCCGTTTGTTGTTGATGATGATGTTTTGTTTTGTTTGTTTTGTTTGGGGGTAGGGGTTAAAATCAATCAAAGCCCATCAAACACTTGTATTGGACAGGTGTGTTGAGGGAGAAATTTGAAAAGTTATTTTCCAGAATTCTTTTACTGTAAAGATATTTACAGAAACCCACTAGTTAATTATAAAATCTGAAGCTCTAAGGATATGCCATACATTTAATTTTATCTTAAAAATACATCATTTTCTTTTGTGGAGCAAATTAGAATAGTTTATAAAATTTGAAATTGTATTTTAATTAATTTCTGATTTTACTTTTTTAAAGTTTGTAAACAAGATATTAAATTCCAAGAGGAAGTGGCTAAACATACTTGTAAAGTATATCTGACATATAATACGTTGAAAGCAAACATTTCCTTGAGCCTCTGAAAGAAAATAAATTATACTTCCTGGTAACGATAAACTTTGAGTTCCACCAACATAACTCTAATAAAATAGAGGGAGACATTAGTAAACAATTTTATATTCAAAACACACATTAGTACCTCTTTGAAGAAGAATAATAATTTTAAAAATACCTGGCTTCGGATCTTATTAAATTTAAGGTGTTTTCATTATCAAAATCAATGCCCAAGGGGCTGGGGTTGTGGCTCAGTGGTAGAGTGCTTGCCTAGCATGCATGAGGCACTGGATTCAATCCTCAGTGCCACATAAATGTAAAATAAAGATATTGAGTCCACCTAAAACTTAAAAAAAATCAATGCCCAAATGCCATTTTTTAATTTCTTAGTTTACTTTTATTGCTGATTTAAAGACTACTCAAAATTTTCATTCATAATACTTAGGCTGTCATATCATATTGAGGTTCACATGTAAAAATCTTGACATTGATTTTGTAATTATCAAATAATTCAGATTTTTTTCTAAAAATTACCAAATTCTCCAATAATCATTCTAAAGATTAATTTAAACAATTTGCTTTAGGAATCAACTGATTTTGAAAAATGTTTAAGTTAACCTTGTCAAACAAATTGATAATATAGAAAGTTCTTCTGAAGATAAATTAATCCACTGTAAGGAATATTTATAATCTCATGTTTTTCTTATTTCTACTTTGGAAGAAAACTAAGTTCTATAACTTAGTCATAATTAAAATATTTCTAGTCAAAAAGAAACAAAACTTCAGTTACCTAAGAGTGACAGACTATAAGCAAATTTAACTTGAAAAACTGTCGCTTTTCAACTGTGTAGTGTTTGGTAGAAGTACATTACCATCTTCCTAAAAATTATAGTCTTAAATTACCCAAGACCTATTACCCTGAGCAAAGTTTTTCTTTTTCTTTTTTCTTTTTTTGAATAAGTAATTTTATATTATTTCAGTTTTGAAACTCATTCCCAGATCTGGTTGATGTTCAGCCTGCAGGTCTAACACATATTTCCTTTAGATTTCACATGATAAAATTTATTGAGAGAATGAAAGCTTGAGGAAAACCTGTTTGTTCCTGTTATCTGATAAGAATGATCTTTTTTGAAAATGTTAACTGAATGGTGGACCCATCTTAGTTTAATAGCATTTTTCAACAGCTCTTTTTTCTTGATATTGCAATGATATGATTTAAATATCCCAGAATATCACTGTACTGCTCAAAATAGCTACAAAGTTAGTATTTCTCTTGATTTGTTTTCTTGAGACAGGGTGGTTACTTAGTAATAATACTTCTAACATGTATAACATAATATTGGATTCTTAAGTGTCCACTTCTCTTGTTCCACTGAAAGACAATCCCAGCTCTTCAGAGTGGGTCCTTCACTGGTCTTCATTGTGCTCCCTCCTTGCAGCTGACATGACTTGCTACTTCACAGGAAATGGGAGTCCATCACTTTCCTATGTTATCCATCCCATTTTCCACCCTCATGTACAACTCCCTTCTCTAATCTTAGTTTGGCTATAGGATATGGTACAATAAGATTCATTTAATCATTCATTGGACAAAGTACTTTGCAAACAATCTCATTTAATTTTCACAACATCCCTGTGAGGTGATTACTGTTTTAATCTGCTTTTGAAGATGATGAAACTGGGACTTGGAAAGGTTATCAAAGACAGTAGTTTATACTTTTTGGTTTGCATCTCATCTGTGCCACTTATTAACTGGACAACCTTAGACAAGTTTATTTTCCTGTGTCTCTTTCATCATTGGCAAAACAAGGGATAATAGCATAATTATGCCTAGTTTGTAAAATTGTGATAAGAGAAATCAATAAAAATGACACATTGTAGGATATGAAATAATTTAGGTTCTACAGACTTGAATCCAATTTCCATCTTTGATACTTTCTACCAGCCCAACACTGTCATTTCTACTTCCTACTAAACATCTCATATCCTGGTATTGTTTTACAACCCCATAGCAGTTTTCAGTTCAAACAATTTTATCTCTTATGAAATAGTTCATTGGCTTTGTAAATTATCCCCCTGTGTTGGGTTTCTTTTCTAATTTGGCTTCCCATTGGTGCCATAATTATGGTTTTAGTTGCCTTCAAAAATAAGAAAAAGCAAACTTGCAAAACATGAATACTTTGTCACAGTGTTTACTTATTCTTCTTCTCTAGCCTTATCTTTCATCCTTGCCACTCTGATCCATGCCCCTTATACCTCACTGTAAAACTGCGAAGCATAGTGTTTTGTATAATACTTCCTACCTCTACCCTGTTTTTGACTGACTAGAACTTTATTGATCATCTTTCAAAGATCATCTCTTATTGGTCTTCTCTATGAAACTTTTTTGTTCCCTTTATTCTCTCTCCCCTATGCCAACACATAATTCAGATTTGTTCACAGTTTTAATATTTAATTCCTTGAAGAGCTCTAACTTATTCACTTCTATGACCCCAACTCTGGGTACTTAAAAGGGGATAGAAACAATGATAAACAAGTAAAGCCATTTAACAAGTGAAAAGGAACATTTATGAATACATAAGTTATCCTAAGTTGTCTATCCCACAGGTATTTATAATGTTAAAAAGTGTCTTTGCCAATGGAACTTTAATTAACTAGTGAGGGACTGAGCAAAAGAAATACCACAACCAAACTTTACTTGATTAAGTTTAGAACAAACGCTTTATAGCAAAAGCAAATGTAGATCTTCTGCACTACAAATATTTGAATAAGAACTGCATAGACTTGTGTATCTTTATTTCCATTGTTTCCAGTATGCAGAACTTACTTATGACCATCTCTTACCATCCTGTAAACATCACCATGGACTTTCTTGGCTCATTGCTTAGGTGCCCAGTTTGTTATGCTCTGACTCTTTGACCTGAACTGCTATTTTGTGATAGTCTTGAACATCCTCCTTACCAAGGTGGCTGACTGAGAGTACTGCGTTCTCATCCTTTTTTCACTTCTATATCATATTACAGCATTCTAGAAATTTCCTCCTTTATTGACTTCCATGAGATCATGCTTTATGTTTTTAGTTTGTGAAAGTATGATATTAAAAATTTCAAATTCTTAATTGTACTATTCTTTATCACCAATTCTGTGACCATTTCTAAATTCCTTATTTTGGCTCTGTGGTTGACTCCTGAGCCTACATATCTTATCTACCCACATATTTGCATTTCATTTCCTGTACTTATAAGGTTATAACCAGGCAGATCTGCTCTATCACTTCAGACTCAACTGTTAAATATCAAGTTCATGAAGTTTCTTCTAAACTATTTATTTTCCTGTTTCCAATGATTATTATTACTCCTTTATTTCCCCTTCCTACAGGAATTCACTGATAATATTTGCTTATTTTCCACAGTGAAGCTTACAAAAACTGAATTCAATTTCTCTTTTTATCCTCGATCTTTTATAATTGCCCTTTCCTAAATGGTGGTTTTGTTTTGTTTGTTTGATTGGTTGGTTGGTTCATTTGGTTTGGGTTTTTTCTGTCTTCATTCACTTTGATTCACTTTTTCCCTTTATCCCAGTGTTGGTCAGTTTTTCATTACTGTGGTCAGAATACCTGACCAGAATAACTTAGAAAAAGCAAAGTTTATTTCAGTTCACAGTTTGAGAGGATTCAATTTGTATTCACCCTGCTGGCTCCATTCCTTTGGGCCCAAGGTATCACGGAACATCATGGCAGGAGGGCAACAAAGAGAGAAAGAGAATGTGTGGAAGAAGGCACCAGGGATAATATATAAACCACAAAAGCATACCTCCAGTGACCAACTTCCTCCAGCCATACCTTACCTGTCTATAATCACCATCTCATAGTCCCTTCAAATTATTAATTCAGCAAATGGATTAATCCACAAATGAGGTCCAAGCCCTAAGCACTGACTAAAAGTCTTACCTCTGAACCCAACTACATGGGGGATCACACTTTCAAATCTTGAGCTTTTGTGGGGGCACATTCCAGATCCACATCATAACATGCAGGTTCATGGTTGTACCAGCAGCACTTTGTGCATAGTGATTTGACCAAGTCTGTGCAAAGGGAAAATGAGAAGGGTGGGCTTCAACTTTTTTCTCAGTTGCTTTTCTCAATGCTTCCTTAATTTATGCGCACTATTTTTCTTTCTGCTGATATAAAAGATGATACCCTAAAGCAAATTGGGGAACCACATCAATAGGTTGGTTCAGGTACCCAAAAATTTCTAAGACAAAGAAGAAAATTATTCCTCCACCTTGGACTGAGAATAAACTTCAGTGTATTTCTATATTATAGTGTTTTGGTAATGTATTTCTGCTTGACCCTACATAACAGGCTGGTTATTACCACATCAAAACTCAAGTCCATCCCTTTAACATTTCACAGCAGGGTTACTGCAAGGTTTTCTGGTTTACTAGTTGTCTTTTGCTTTCTCATTTGCAGATGGGCAAAGGCCAGGCAAGTTCTTGTTCATACTGGGGGAGACGATCACAATTCTCCCACATACTGCAGTGAATAGAATTGAAGCCAGAAATAAAGATCTGCAGCATCCTGGGAGATGCAAAATAAAAATCAGGCAGTCTTTCCAAGTGTGTGTCCTGTCAAAACATGCCAGGCATTGAAGAAATCCAAGAATAAGACTTTAGATCAGAAATTGAAGAAACCAAATGACAGCGGCCAAGTTCAAAGCAGAGGTTGAAGACAAAGTCTGGTGGTACTTTTCGAGTTTTTAGGACGCATTTGGCTTCAGGACAAAGTAGGGAAGAAAGTAGGTAGAATCTTACATGGGCATTATTATTTTTCCACATTCCAGTACATCCTGCCACTTGCCATAGAGATTGGTTCCTTCCTAATCAGGTACAAATAGTTTAAAATTAGCATATTAAATCTACTCCCATCATGTCAGCTTAGGTACTGCATATATTAAAACATTGTCAACTATAATATTTTTTAATTATGGTGCTAGTGAGCATGGAAACAATGAAGGAAAAGAGAAAAGCCAGAAACATACCCAGATTTTAAAACCTCCATGTCTAATAAACAAATCATCAAAATTCAGTGGGGTGAGTGTTGCTTTTCCACAAAGAATTTAGGAAAATTGACTATCTGAAAACTAATTATTTAATGTAAACAACCGTAAGTAATTCTTTAAAACAAACTCACTGCTGTTTTGATTTAACAAATATGTTGAGTACTACTATCCGTTAGACTTGGGCATTATAACTGCATCATGACCTGTTTTTCAACTTAAATATCTCTAATTCTAGATGGGAAAAGAGGTGAATGATAAAACAGAGAGAGAGACAAACTGGAGTTAAAGAAAGACCTCTAAGCTGAGATTTCCATGAAGAGTTTACATTATTCTGGAAAAAAGAGGGCCAAGCAGATGTGAGGGAAAGCTTAGACTAAGGTTAAGAAAAGCTTCTAGCAAGGGGAGCAAGGTGTATGAAGATTAAAAGCAAAATAAAATATCTGAAAGTTGCAAGAAGGTCAGTAAAGCACTGTTGACATTCTTCACAGCCTCTGCTCCAAAGCCATGCAGATACAGAAAGATGGGTACAGTCTCAAGGGACCTTCAGTACATGCTTATATTGGAACACAGGAATGTTATACTGAAAACTGGTTTAAGAAGAAAAATATGCAAAGGTCATAAGTAGGCATTATAAAGTTTTATTGTGTTGAATGTTCATAGTAAACTTGTGGTTATCTTTTCAGATTCAACAATTTCCAGAGAAAAGCAGAATGTTAAAGAAAAACAAAGTATTAATTTTTAAGTACTTTCTTAATCTCATTAATTCAGCTTTTTTGGTAAGAATTTTCATATTTTTAATGAAGGAAATATAATGCGTTCTTCTAGACAATTACTGAAAATATTGACTTCTTACAGATTCTTGGACTTTTATTCGTGGGATTTGGTGCCTGCCTTTTATTAGATAGAAATACTTTTTTAACAGCGTTGGGTATGTATATTTTTCTTTTTCTCTTAATGAAATAAACAAGGCTGAGAGAAAACTTTTCAGTTTAAGTAAGTCCCATTTGTTGATTTTTGTTATCAACTTTTGTGCTATGGGTGTCCTATTAAGGAATTTGGAGCCTGACCCTACAATATGTAGGTTGGAGCCAACTTTTTCTTCTATCAGACGCAGAGTCTCTGATTTGATATCTAGCTCCTTGATCCACTTTGAGTTAACTTTTGTGCATGGCGAGAGGAGGGGATTCAGTTTCATTTTGTTGCATATGGATTTCCAGTTTTCCCAGCACCATTTGTTGAAGATGCTATCCTCCCTCCATTGCATGCTTTTAGCTCCTTTATCAAATATAAGATAGTTGTAGCTTTGTGGATTAGTCTCTGTGTCCTCTATTCTGTACCATTGGTCCACCCTCCTGTTTTGGTACCAGTACCATGCTGTTTTGTTACTATTGCTCTGTAATATAGTTTTAAGTCTGGTATCGCTATACCACCTGATTCTCACTTCCTGCTTAGAATTGCTTTTGCTATTCTGGGTCTTTTATTTTTCCAAATGAATTTCATGATTGCTTTATCCATTTCTACAAGAAATGCCGTTGGGATTTTGATTGGCATTGCATTAAACCTATAGAGAACTTTTGGTAATATCGCCATTTTGATGATGTTAGTTCTGCCTATCCATGAACAGGGTATATTTTCCATCTTCTAAGATCTTCTTCTACTTCTCTTTTTAGGGTTTTGTAGTTTTCATTATATAAATCTTTCACCTCTTTTGTTGGGTTGATTCCCAAGTAGTTTTCTCTCAGCAAGAGAAACAATAAAAGAGGTAAATAGGGAGCCTACATCATGGGAACAAATTTTTACTCCTCACACTTCAGATAGAGCCCTAATATCCAGAGTATACAAAGAACTCAAAAAATTAAAGAATAAGAAAACAAATAACCCAATCAACAAATGGGCCAAAGACCTGAACAGACACTTCTCAGAGGAGGACATACAGTCAATCAACAAGTACATGAAAAAATGCTCACCATCTCTAGCAGTCAGACAAATGCAAATCAAAACCACCCTAAGATACCATCTCACTCCAGTAAGATTGGCAGCCATTATGAAGTCAAACAACAACAAGTGCTGGCGAGGATGTGGGGAAAAGGGTACTCTTGTACATTGCTGGTGGGACTGCAAACTGGTGCGGCCAATCTGGAAAGCAGTATGGAGATTCCTGGGAAAGCTGGGAATGGAACCACCATTTGACCCAGCTATTGCCCTTCTTGGACTATTCCCTGAAGACCTTAAAAGAGCGTACTACAGGGATACTGCTACATCGATGTTCATAGCAGCACAATTCACAATTGCTAGACTGTGGAACCAACCCAGATGCCCTTCAATAGATGAATGGATAAAAAAAATGTGGCATTTATACACCGTGGAGTATTACGCAGTACTAAAAAATGGCAAAATCATAGAATTTACAGGGAAATGGATGGCACTAGAGCAGATTATGCTTAGTGAAGCTAGCCAATCCCTAAAAAACAAATACCAAATGTCTTCTTTGATATAATGAGAGCAACTAAGAACAGAGCAGGGAGGAAGAGCAGGAAGAAAAGATTAACATTAAACAGATACATGAGGTGGGATGGAAAGGGAGAGAAAAGGGAAATTGCATGGTAATGGAGGGAGACCCTCATTGTTATACAAAATTATATATAAGAGGTTGTGAGGGGAATGGGAAAATAAACAAGGAGAGAAATGAATTACAGTGGATGGCGTAGAGAGAGAAGATGGGAGGGGAGGGAGGGGGGATGGTAGAGGATAGGAAAGGTAGCAGAATACAACAGTTACTAATAGGGCATTATGTAAAAATGTGGATGTGTAACCGATGTGATTCTGCAATCTGTATTTGGGGTAAAATTGGGAGTTCATAACCAACTTGAATCTAATGTATGAAATATGATATGTCAAGAGCTTTATAATGTTTTGAACAACCAATAAAAAAAAAAGAAATAAACAAGGCATTTCACTTAAAACAATTATGATGATCTATTCAGCAGGTGGCAGTATTTCTCTAACATCCATTAAGTATGGCCCACCATTCCTTCTAAAGGTCTTGCCAGTTGACTTTAATAAGTGCCTTATTTAAAAAAAAAAAAGGGGGGGGTTTAAGTCCAGTATCATAAAGGAGGGACAATTTGAGGAGGTGGGGGAACCAGGAGCTCTTACTAGACAAGGGAGAGGAGGGAAAGGAAAACTGAGTTTTCTGCCAACTCTAGAATTTACAGAACTGTAGACTTGAAAAATCAACATAGTCGAATAATTTCTTTTAAAATTTAATTATGAACTATTTTCACCATCACACAAATAAAATATAATATTCTCCAAATTTGAAATCATGGATGAAATAGATGAGCCTCTTTCTTTATGAAAAAAAAAGTGAGATCTTTACATTGCCTTTATTTTTCCATTTTTGATTTGTAGTGGTCACTGTAAACTGGAGTATAGGAATAAATAGGCCGTGGGTTATTTTAATATAAACATCTTCTGTTCAAGGGAAGAAATACACATTTCAAGTATTCAGTAGGCATTTATGGCTATTGGCCATCTTGTTGGACTGCACAGATAAAGAACATATCCACTCTCACAGTACCCTCTGTTTAACAGCACTATTCATCGAAGAATGAAAGGCCAAACATTCAGTGTAGAGTTGACTTATTTCTTAGTAGATATCAAATAAGAAAAAAATGTAGGGAAGGAAATGCTAAATAGAAAATTTTAATATATTATAAAGTCCTACAAAATGGAATAATCTAGCTAGCCTTAAACTGTATTAAATGCCTGATATCATTATTCTCTTAAGCTTATATACTTTGCTTATGGACAAGGCTAGTGATGTCTGAATACATTAGCGCCTTTCCCAGAGTCATGGGGCTGTGAAGATCTTAACAACAAACTTCCATCCTTTCCATCCACACAATAATTATAATAATAGCTTCCACTTAATTAGGGTTCAGTGTGTGCCAAGCAATGGACTAAGGACCCACACAATACCTAATTTAATAATGTAGCAATTAAGGTGGAGCAAAAGATTTTTTTTTTCTTTTTCTTCATTGTGGAGTTGACAGATAATTCTTGTTAATCTTGGTGTATTGGGTTGTGAAAAGCTCCAGAAAAGGTAAAAATAAGTAAGGAACTTGTTCTTTTAAGTTCTATTTTTAAAATTGTGTACTCAGATCAGTTAGTGAAATGTTGATTAAGGTTTTAGGATCTGGAATTAAATACATCCAAATTAAGACCCCAAATATTGAGTCTTCCTTTATTACATATCTGCCATTTTCACTTGATTTTCCTCTTTTTAAAACACCTTTGTGCTTACCTTCCCTTCATGGTAAGCCCATTCAACGTAAGGTCCCATTTATCTCCTGACACTGTAATAACTTCCTAGAGTCTTTTGCTCTTATCATTTCTCTCAGCTATCTTCCAAATATCACTAACATAATTCACTCAAATGCAAATTTGACCATGTAGTACCCCTCTTGAAAGCTCTTCTCTGGATCCTCATTGCCATTATTTATTCATGTGCCAAAAATTAAGCATCTTCTATATGTCAGACACTGCCCCATATGTGGAAGATACTATCATGAACAAAAAAGATCCAGTTCCTGTCCCCGTTGAACTTCATTCAAGTGAGAAAAATTGGAAAACAGCACACAAAGTGCCCATAATTTCAGCAATGCTTCTACCACTCCAGCCTGGATATTTTCAATTATTATTTAAAGACTATGCTCAGGTATTACTTTTTCTGGTAATCTTAAACCAAACCCTTTAACCTCCTTTGCTCATTGGATGGTGTGTCCCTGGTGTCCAGTACAATGCTGGTGAGTGTTTAGTAACTGGTTCTTGAGTAGAGAATCTTGATTCATGGCATCTGTACATTCCCATAGTTTAAATACTCCCCGACCCCAATGTGAATTCAGTTGGCTTGTAAATTTCCTGAAAACTTAACAATTGACTTTTATGAGCCAGCACAAACTGTTCCAGGATACCCCTGCCTCCATTGTTCTTCCAGAAAAATGTAAAACATATGTAACTCATGTATTTGTCTTCTACAAAAAACAAATATTTGTTGTGCATTTACTGTTCTACAATCTGTGATGTACCACCACAATTCAACAGTTAGTCTGTTAGCCAGATAAATATACAGTTACTGACACTGAATATTCACAGTTTAGTTAAGGAAAGAACATATTATAAATGAATTCAGGGTATATACAAGAATAAGGGACAATCAACCTACAAATATGAGTACCAAAAATTATTTTAATGAATGTATGCATGAATGAGTAAGCACATGAATGTTTGAATATGCATTAGAAATGGAAGAGGTCAACCTAGAAACAATTGTCTTCTATCATAGAATAAAATGAAAATAAAGGTAACAAGATTTTTTGTGATTGAAGGAATTCTCTATTATTTCAGGAAAAGAAAAGAAGTTGTTGCTAAGAGTAAATAAGAGATGCTGGAATGAGATCAAATGAGAAAAAAATCCTAGTGATTTAGTAATAGGAAAACATTGAACTGCCTTTATTATTAAATAGAAAGTAAATAAAATATCACTTCATAATAAGTCATTTTGTGCTTTCCACAGATGAAAACAAACAATTCATTATATATATTTCTCAAATCTTGATTGGAATGGGATCTGCTGTTGTTCTTCTTTGTCTGTTGGGTTATTTGTCAATTCACATCAAAATTGTATGGCTCCTAATTCTGGTATGTATTTTACTTCAATAGCCCAATTTCATGTTGTATATATTGAGTATCCAAGTTACTCATATGAGCAATTGTGATTTATGTTGCTATAGTATTTCAGTAGAGCATGACCTTGGGGGTAATCTGAATGATATTCCATGCCCAAGAAACTTCCAGGTAGATTGTTTTTTTTCCCATGGTTCAGGTACCTCCATAGTTGCACTCTTAAATATTTAATTTTCAATATACAGTCAACACTAACCCATTTCCTGGATGAAGTACAGTTAACCAAACTTAGGAATCTGAAGACTAAAATCATAATAAAGTATATAAGAGTCAATATAAGAGTCAATGAGCAAAGTAAAGAAGGAGTAGGAGGGGGAAGAGTAGTACCAATAAAAAGGAAAGGAGGTGCAGATGGAGGAGGGAGAGGAAGAGGAGGAGGGGAAACATGTCCTCTAGTCATTATATTTTTGCCTGTCAGTGTGCCATATGGAAAACTACCTTATAATTTAAATCCTACTTTATTATTTAAGGAAGAGAAATTAACTGCTGAGAGGGACAGACTCAGGGCAGTTGTCTAGCCTCTTATATCTCTCTCTCTTAGCACCTAACATGGAAAGATGAAGGATCATCAGTAGTGTACACCTGAACATGAGCCATTCACCGCACATGTGGCAGGTGTGGATGACAGTTCACTTAGATGAAATAAACCTTTTAAACTTTTCTTTGAATCAAATTTGAATTTATAACCACTCTCCTATCAAGCAGATAAAGGATTCAGTTGCAGCCCTTCTTTCCATTTCCAGGAAGAATGCAGAGGTACCTTGCTTTTGTGTACCACTGAGGTCTGGTTGGTCACTCTGGACACTAGTTACCAGTCTGCACTGGTTACCACAAAAGCAAAAGTCTCATAGTGCCTTCAGATGTACTCCTTCTGCTGTTGGAATAGCCTGGGATGATAGCAACAGGGGGCTATTCATCCAGCATATTTCAGTGCAGGCATACCAGTGAAACCCTTTTGTGAAGGATTAGCAAATAGACATTAAGTTCTTTCCCAGCGGGATCCCTCCCCTATGAGAGTCACACCTCCTCAATGACACGGCAATTAATGGAATCACACCTGACAGAAGGACCAGTTACTACTTATATTTAGTAATTGCAACTTAGAGTTTTTAAGACTTTTACCTTGGTCATGAACATTTTAGTCAAAGCTGGAAATTACAGTGTCATTTCCCTATAGTATCTTGCCAGGAAGATGCCAAGAAGCTGTGTGCCTATTGTTCTGGGAACCACAATTTCCAGGATCTGTTTCAGAATCTTCTTAATCTAAAAAGTGACTCCTTTCTCTTCTTATTCTCCTCCAAAGCCCAGTCTTCTTCTCAAATCTTATCTTCCTCTCTTTCCAGGATATTTAGCCTAATTTTCTGATTGACCTTCAGATTTGGAATAGGGAAACCAGGACAGAAATGACTTGAAAGAAAAATCTTGATTTCTTTTTTCCTTTCCACAAATTACCAGTTAAGCAAGAGAAGCACACAGCCTGCTACTAGTATAATGTTGGGGATTAGGGATGATAAATGAAGGAGGAAAGTAGAGCGAGAAAAACATAAATGCCCCGTGTGATTTATGTATGAAGAGCATCCAAATGATAAAAGTTTCAGAGATACCCTCATAAAGATGCATGTGAATATAAGATCTGAGAGGTTAAGCCCTAGAGCAAAGATACTACTGTCCCTTCCAGACACTCCATGGAAGGCTACTGCTACTTTTTATCATCATGACCCATGCTAATTCTTCTCTGAATAGACCAATATTTTTCTGATGAACACATTCCTTTGAACCATTTTAATGTGCACAGTCAACTGATAAATTGTATAGGCCTAAAGGCTATTCCACAACTTAAAGGGATTTTGTTTATACCTGCTCTAATTCAAGACACTAATATAATATAATCTAGTAATCTGCTCTAATCTATTCTAGTCATTTCTTAATTATTATGTACACTTTTTATTGCCTCTACCAATCTCTTTTTATCTTTAATGATTATCAAGTGAGATAGTATATGTAGAATTGTAAATTTAAACTTCTCAATACATGTCAAGAAATAGTTTTATCTCTGAAATTCTGTCTCAGAAAATAAAAAAAAAAATATGTATGCCAAATAGAAAATAAGGACTTGGCTACCATTACTGACCCAATTATAGATTGTATGGGTGGGCTAGAGGAACTTGTCTTTAACTTTGACTAAGTAGTTGTAAATGACAAAAAAATGTAGGTGCATATGAGGTAGTACTGAGTTTTAGGAATCCAGATCCATATCCCTTCTTCCCATCCTCCTCCAGTCAACCTTGGCTACCATTACTGACCCAATTATAGTAATGTAGATTACACACACACACACACACACACAAACAGTACATTTAGACTTGTACTTAATTGGCTAGTTCAAAGTATCAAATGTTTAAACTATGTGAAATTAATAATATGAACAGTAAATAATTATTACTTATATTCTACCTTTTAAATATTTAGACTGCTGAATTGTAAATTATTATAAACTCTAGGTTATATGTACCAATACATTCAACTCTGGTGATAAAGACTGAAGTAGCTATAGGTTTTAAGAAAGAAAACAGCCTAATTCATGTGAAAATAATTTTATTGGAAGCTTTAATTTTTCAAAGAACTAGTTCAAGAACACATGCATAATTAAGTTTATTATTGAAGCTACTATTGGTGTACTTTTTACTTCATACATGGCAGAATAGTTTGCAAATTAGATTACAAATTTGGCAGAATGATCTGATAAGTGGAGTGCCATATATTTGAATTCCCCTTTGGAACAACTTTATTTCTGAATTAAGAGGATATAATCAACAACTCCATTAGACCAAGTAGCCTTTTTGGGTTCTCATGGAATATGATCACTTCTTTCTAGAATATTCTTATCCAGACATTAATTGATTTTTATTGAGATCTTATTTCAATAATTATGCCAATATATATGAAGGCAGTAAAATTTAGGGATACCTATGTATATTTTAGGCTGTATATTTCATATGCTGTGTATTTTTTCATTATTATAGCATCGAAAATATAAATTAAAAACTAAACATCATCTCTGTTTTTCTTGTGTTTTAGTATGCAGTAGTGTTGTCATTGGCCTTTGGTGTCCAAGTTGTATTTTCAGCACTCATCTTCACAAAGAAAGAGGAGGTATAGAAAATGAACCCTTATCAATATTCTTTCATTTGAAATATAAAGAAAATTGGGTACCTTCCATTAGTGAGATCTTTGAGCCTAAATTAAAAGCCAAGAAAAGAAAACTTCTTTGGAGGCAAAATATTTAGTAGAAGGACTCAAATTCTATATAGGAAGCGGGAGGGGTCAGGTTGTATGGGTGGGCTAGAGGAACTTGTCTTTAACTTTGCCTAAGTAGTTGTAAATGACAAAAAAATGCATATGAGGTAGTACTGAGTTTTAGGAATCCAGATCTATATCCCTTCTTCCCATCCCCCTCTAGTCAACCTTGGAGCTACCATTACTGACCCAATTATAGTAATGTAGATTACACACACACACACACACACATACACACACAGAGTACATTTAGACTTGTACTTATTTGAAATGCAGTGATTTTTTTTAAACAAGATGAATTGAAAATTTATATATCTTGCATAGATAAGATCCTAAGTGATATAATTGAGTTAATTATAATGAGATTTGTATTTATCAAATTAAGTTTAAAATTCATAGAATAAATTATCCATAAAAACTTTCTGATAAGAAAATGTATTACTGCCCATAATTACTTTTAATAATTTAAGAAATTTTAGTGTTCCAGTGCAGCTCAGATGTGTTCTTGAAGCTTGCTAGATTATCCTGTAATCTGTATCCTGTAATAAAAAAAAGAGCAGTTATAAGGATCTGAGTATGATTACAGATCAACAACCTACTCACTTTGTAATTATTAACTAACAAGTTAATAAAGCAGGTACTCAAAAGTTCCCTTTCTTTCGCTTCCTTAGTCTTGAAGGAGTCCCTAATTAATTCTTGTGGTTTTCAGGATCTCCCCAGGGTAACTGCCACAGCCCAACAAAACTGTTCCTGTTTCTGTATAACACTATTGTCTGTCATCTTGGAGTCACATTACCCAAAGCCTACTATTAATGGCCTGGCATTTATAGCTTAAATTTCTTATTTCTCATCCCAAAAGTAATGTATGTGTATACAGTGTATGTACATGTGTACCTATGTGCATGTGTTTATGGCGGGGGGGTATGTATCAGCCATATAAGTTGGTGTTTAGAAAGTTGTTTTGGTGGCAAGACACCAGATTCCACCCAGCACAACAGCCTCAAATTTTGGAACCTGGTCATATAACCTCAACATAACATATAAGGATTCTGATTACATAAACATAATTTTTCAGAATCATACTTACTTCAATATTATTCACATACTCACCTCTACATATAATAAAAAGAATAACTACTAATTACTATTATGCCAAAGACTATTATAAGTACTCCAGGGACATTATATTAAACTTCCTCCCAACAACAACTAGATATGCACTGTTACTCCCACTTTATAGAAGAGGACACTGAGAGATTGAGATGAAAAATAATCATTAATGTATTTCATGACCAAATAATAGGACCTGGACTGGAGCACTTATTAACTAACCCCAGAGCTAGCAACATTGTTGATATCAACTTGACATTTGTATTGAAACAGGATTAAAGTCTTATGAACTTCTGAGTTTTTATGCTATTTATAGTACCAACTCAGCATTGAAGATGTAGTAGAACTTTATCAGATGCTTATTAAATTGAGTATGTATAAGGTATTTTATTTACATAATAGTCACATCACTAATATATGAAATTATCATGTACTAACTAGTCATTCATATACATTATGAATCTTCCAAATAATGTTTTAGAGTCTAAATTAATCAATATATCCCTTTCCCCTCATCTGCAGCAACATAAAATGGAAATAAAACTATTCTAAATAAAATCTTAACATGGGGAATAAAATAGAATTAAAATCCCCACTTTATATTATTATAATTTCTCTGCCTTAAAGCATAGGTATATAAGTAACTTAATAAAGTTTAACTTGTATACATTTTAAAATTATTGTAATATTACCACAAGTTATTTACTTTTCATTTTTCAAAGACAGTTAATACAATAAAAAAATCATTAGACTAGTACTGAAATGAACAATATTAAAAGTGTCAATTCCTTTTAAAAATGTTTCCTGCCTTTTGATATAATTGAAGGCCAAATTAGAAGTTGGCTATGAAAATCATAATTTTTAAAATGCTTATATATGTTACTATTATCTAGATTAAAAAAAACGATTTTATCCTATTCAGATCTGATCATTTTTTGTGTTGGTATTATAGTGGAGAAAAAGTAAATATCTTTTCCTCACCCATTGCAAGTTCATGGCTGAGACCCCTGTAATAAAAGACAATCTAATAAGAGAAAAGCATAACAAATTTACTGAACCAATGCTTATGGGACATGAGAATCTTCTGAAATAAAGAGCCAAAAACACAGGGAAAACTATATATTTTTTAACAGTCATGCAGAAGTGTGATTAGAGGACAAAAGGGTATTATCTAATGGTAATAACTGTGGGAAACTTAATAAGGCCTCTTTGTTTAGAGTCATCTTGGACTCTGGGTATACACCAGGACCCCCTTGGAATGAGAGTCTTATGACTTTCTCTCAGTCGAACTAGGTCAGAAAAATTTTTTGTGACCTGCTTGAGGAGAAGAAGTGGGAGAAGGTCAGAGAGTGACCTTTCTGCTTTTGCAGTTCTCTCGATTTCTTTAACTTAAAATATTCAGTATGCCAGTGTGCCATACTTTGGAGTATTATGTTCTGAGCCCTTAAAGTATTGTAATGGAACATATTTAAAATAGAAAAATCATAATTCTTATAAACACATTTAGTAAGTACATCAATGATTTTATTTAACATCTCCATTAATAATGGAAGCAATAAAATATAAAAATCAACTCAAAGGAGATATGTTTATTGGCCACCACTTAACAGATGCAAAACAGGCTTGGAGAGGGGAAAATTTACTTGTATTTTCTCCCTCCAAAAATCTTTTTTGTTTACCTGACCAATAATAATTTGTACAACTATAGTTTTCTACAACTTACAGAGTTGTACAGATTAAATTATAAGCCATGAATGGACAGACAGCCATCAAATTAATGAACCCTAAAGTTTGCTTGGAGAAGCCTAGTTTCCATTGAAAAGACCTTCAGTGATCATTTTTAGGTCTTTTCTAAGTCTTCCACAATTATTCCTGAAAAAAAAATGTATAAGAAGAAATGTGGAACCCCTTGACATTCTGGAGATTAGCACATTCATTCCTCCTAATAATGAAGTAAGTTTAATATATTCTTCCTATAGATCATGAAGTGAAATATCAAATGCTTTGACAATAAAATTTCTAAAAGGAGTTTTATGGAAAAAAATCACTGAAAAAAAGGTCCTCTTATTTCTGACATTGAAGACTGTTTTGAGGGGAACCATTAGGAGAAGTTTATCTGTGAAATTTTTGCTTTTTAATGCGATTTTCAACAGGTTCAACAACTATGGCATGACAAAATGGATTTAGTCATTTCTGAGTATGGATCTAAAGATAAGCCTGAAGACATACCCAAGTGGACTATTCTGAATGCCTTACAGAAAACAGTAAGAGGAAATTAGTACAAAACTAATAGTTGGGTATCAAAGGTGATCACTGAAGTTGGGAGAGAGAATAGGTGGGAGCAAGGTGTGGGTAGAGGAGGAAGAGCTTGTTGAATTTCATCCAAGCAAGAGAGTAAAGTGGCATTATCCTCAGCATCTTGAGTTTATCCTTCTTTTGTAACTGTTTTGTTCTTCATTGATATTTAAAATGCATTCAAACCTGTTTTCACCAGGAAAAGTGTATACATAGAGGATATGGAAAGTTTTCACTTGGGGATATAATGAGCAACTATAATGAACAAAACAGGATAGGGATGTGGCTCAGTGATTAAGCACCCCCTGGATTCAATCGTTGGTACCAAAAAGAAAAGAAAAAGAAAAAAAAAATAGCAAACATTTACATAGTGCCTTATCTTTTAATAAAAGCTTTGCATATATTATTTCATTTAATCCCCCCAACCCAATGAAGTAGGAAATATTATCCTGATTTTATACACGAAGGACAGAAAAAATTGGGAACTACCAGAATTACACAGCTAAGATATGGCAGAGTCAAGATTAAAACCAAAGACTCTAGCACTGGTTTTTGTATTCTTTACTGTTACACTCTTTGCCTCACATAAAACAGTTATTACTTTTAGTACATTTAATATCAAGTGCATTTTAACTCAATTGAAGTTAAAAATGCTTTTACTCATTTTTCTCTGATGTATAAGATCTGCACCTGTGCTGATTTTTCAGGTTGCAGTAAAACTTATAAGTAGAAAATCCATTCTGTGTTAAGACATCACTGTTAATAAGGAGATTTCAGTTTGTAGTTCCTAGCGACAGATAAAAGTGAGATATATATGTGTTTAGTTTGATTAATATTTAGTAACCCAACTTTGAAGCATTAATTTAAATCATGAAACTTTTCCTAACTTGTGCAAAGATTAGGAAACACATTTAGAAAACAATAACATACTCAGCTTTTTTGTTATTTCCTGTGTGACAAATATTTAAGTGGATTCTTTCCAATCCATCCAATTCAACCAGGATTCCAGAATTGATACTGGAAATGAGACATTTCTTAGAAGTTTGAGCATTTCTATGACTATTTTTTATTATCCTATTTTTATTCTTTGTGGAAATTTTTCACACAGTATCAAATTGAAAGTCAATATCTCACATTAATCCTAAAAAAGTAAAAAATATTCTCTCTTTTTAAATAGTCCAAACAAGTGTGACAGCAGATTTTGAATTAACATAGAGAGAAGTTCTACAGTTAGGAGCAAGATATGGCTCAAGTAATTTCCTGCAGTATAGTACATTGTGAAATGTCATTTGTGTATTTATCCAGAAAGTCTTCAATCTGGGACTCCTATAATATAAAACGGACATATAATGTTATCTACCCAATGCCTGCTTATATGTGTCTTTAGCTCTGGCTGACAAGAACAGTAGCAACACCAAACAAATTAATCAACAAAAATATACTTATTTAAGAAAGAAAAAATAAATAAATAAACTTATTTAATTCATTACATTGCAGTGGGGAGATAGATTACCTTCAAAAACACTTTAATATGCATGGAAATCATATAATTAAATGCATTCTGAATACTTTATGCTAAAATTGATAGAGCCTTTTTCCTAGTTACAGTGTTGTGGTCAACACAATTACACAGATTGGATAAAGAATAAGAATAAAGAAACTTCAGACCAGGTTCCGTGTTCTTGCACAAATTCTACATTAAGAAAATGGTTTTGTGATGAGCCACTGAATGCAACTTACCTGGAGGTAAAAATAAGTCAAAGTTTGTCCAAGGGTGGAAAGTGTGTTTGTTGTTTGTCTTGGAAGTTCATTTAGAATTCTGAGCAAATTCTCATATAAATACCATGTTATTCGTGGTGGCTACATTCTTAAATCACATTATGAAACTGAACTTGTAATTAGGTTAATTGTAGTATTGTTTCAGGCATATAATAAATAAATAAACTGTGATTTAAGCACTCCTTTAATTTAGGATACTAGCAACCTTTCTCCTAAACAAGGCTGCAAAAGCCCTGCAGAAAGAGAAGGTACTTTTGTGAAAGTCCTGGTGGATAGAATTGGTAAGGGATCAACAATACCAGAATTAAAAACATATGGTAGTTAAAAGGAGAGAACCCCCTCTTGATCACAAAAATGATATAATCAGGACAGTGTTGCAGAAACAAAGTAAAAGCTCATCTGGAAGAACTGGTATTAATGACATGGAATATTGATAAACCTGGGATTCCCTTCCCAAGAAACACTAATATTTTGTATAGTTTATACATTGACTTTATACTTGTAACTTTAGTATGTATATTTTCAATTACATAATTGATTCATACATAAATCAAGAATTACATTTTTTAATAACTTCTATATTTGAGAAATAGTTATTTTCAGTGGTGGTATGTACCCTGATGAATTACAATACTAGTCTGCAGAAAGCCAAACCCCTTTCTAAAACTTAATAAATTTCTGATTTTGATTTTGTGTCAATATATTAGCAACTTTAAAGTCAGCAAGTGAAGTGTCCTGCTAACAAAGAAGCTCCCTAGACATTGGTAAATTATTAATCTCTATATGCCTTTTCTTCTGCTTAACAGAATTATTAAAGCCATTTCCATCTCCAAGTTAATCTAAGTAGTTTGTTTTCCTTAGGGTTGTGGAGGTAAAATCAGCACATGGTTTGATGCTAATGCTTTAACCTTCATTGGAATTAATTTTGGACTTTTGACTTCAGAGGTGAGCTTTTGTTTATATGTTTATGAATAAAAATATTAAATATAGACTATGCATAATAGACTGCAAAACAACTAGGTGGAAAAACAGGACAAAAATTAATAAAGTAGGAGCCAGGACCTTGTGACTCTTCATACCAAGAAGGATCCAACTGGAAGCAATACCTTAGTCACTAGGTAGATAGAACCTGTTTAATTAGTGATCATCCTGGATGAAGTTATTTCATTATTTTGAGATACACATCTGTCCATTTATTTTCTCTTTTCCTGTATAAAATATATTTATATGTATTTATATTGATATAAATATATGGAAATATATAAATATTAGAATATAATTTTATATAATATAAATATTTTAATATAATATAAAATTTAAATATATTATAAGTATCTATATTTTATTATTGGTAAGCAATATTGATAAAGGATATATAATATCTCTATAATTCAAAATAAAATACATATATTTTAAAGATATATAATATATATAGTGTACAGGCAGTAAGATAGAGAATAAATGGACAGGTGGATATGTCAAAATAATGAAATAACTTCATCCAGGATGATCACTTGTTAAACATATAAAATATATAGTAAGAGTACCTTGTAAGGAGTTCTTCAATTTGGCAAACTTCAGAAATCTAGGTAAATAATTGCCTTTACTGAGATTCACTGTTAATGTATTCACACATTCATTCATTCAGTAAATTTGTAGGAAAGTAGAGACCTAATATATGTTGTTCTATACTAGATGTTGGAAATTCAATAAGAAGAAAAATAAAGATATTCGAAGGCCTGCAGGGTGCCAGTGCAGAATGGGAATTCAAAAATACCATTCTCCAGCCTCACTTAGGATTGAAAAGAGGAAGTGCAAGCTATGAATTCAGATAAATTATGAGTGGATAGATTATTATAGTGAGGATTACTATAGTATTATTATAGTATTATTATGCTTATCATTGGAGCAACTTTGTAATGGATACTTTGCCATAGTAAAATACTGATTTTGAATCTGGTTTTATGTTTATCCACAAAACTACTGACCTAACATTACATCTCCTCAACTGGTAGCAGTTTTAATCAGAGAATGATAGTAAACCAAGAGTACCATTTAAAGAATGAGGGTTAATCTCATTCTTTTAAAATGTTTTTCTCTGTTGTGTTCAGACTGGTGTGTTTAAGACAAGATTGAAGAAGGAGATAGTATCTGTGCTTTATTTTATCTTGTATTTTATCTTGTATTTATACCATTTTTCATGATGGCATACTAAAATGAAGGAGTTTTGTCAGATAAATGACATAGAAAGATGATGAACAAAAACTAGAGCAGCAGTTCATCAAGGTATCTATTCCAATGACATTGTATGTGATTAACTCTGATAGGTTTTCTATTAGTCCCTATACGTGAATTTGGTGAGAACTAGGCTACTCCAGAAGACTCATTCTGCAGAGTTTTTATTCACTGCCATGTGTAGCTTACTCTGAAATTTGCTCACCAGATTCAAGCCCTTTTCTCTTTAAAAGAGGTATTTTGGTAATTATGTAGTATCAACTTTATAAATTACTACTCTTATAGATTAAATTCTGATTTCATTGTTTCATTTTCTCCCAGGTTTTGCAAGTCTCATTCATTGTTGCTTTCCTCAGACACAAGAATAGAGTTTATGCAGAAACGTGACCTCTGGATTTTAATTTGACTAGAAGAAACCAGTTAATTTTCAAAATAATCATGTCATATTATTTTACTCTATTATTGTTTGGATACGTATCCGTCAAAGGATTATAGACTATGTTAAAGACTTTGTTCACAATTGGTGGCTCTCTTGGGAGGAGATAGAACCTTTAAGAGGTGAAGCTACTAAGAGGTTTTCTGGACACTGAAGGCATGTCCTTGAAGTAGATATTCGAATCCCAGCCTCTTCATATGGCATTCTTTCATGTCTCAGACACAAAATGAACTTTACTACACCACGTGGTCCCCACCAAAGGCTAAAAAGTAATGGGGCTAATTGGTTATGGACTAAAATCTTTGAAACCATGAGCTGAAATGGAATTTTTCTTATATTTTCTCAGGTATTTGTCATGGTAACAAAAAGCTATATTATATGTAATATGGAATTATTGAACATGTATAATAAAAATTAATGAAATTTTAAAATTTTCCACAAAATGATATTTTTGATCAATTTATCAGAAAAAATGGATAAATTTTTCTATTTAGCACTTTATCTTATGTAATGAAGTTTCACCATATAATTTGCATTTTTTTATGTAGAAAATATACCTGTATGGAGTTTGGAAAAAGTATTTTTAACACGTAAGCATTTGCAAATCTTAAGAAAAAAACAGATTTATACAAGAATGTAAAGAAAGATTGAAAATCCTCATTAAATCCTTATTCTGAATTAATCGTTTATTGTCCTTTTCAGATAATGCTTACAACTAGATTATAAACTTAACATTAGAGATAACGTGGTAATAATATAATATTAAAATAACTGAATTTTAAAATTCAAACTAAAATTATTTTTAACTAATACATAGAAACATAAAAATTGTACATATTAATGCAAAGCTAATGATTGATAGCAATGGAAATAGTGAATTGTTAATTATAGCAAAAACAATATATTCTAAATGATCACTGAAATTTCATGTCTTTCGTTGCCTCCTCCTTTCTTCCCTTTCTTCCTAATTTTTTCAATGCATGTGTACATGGTTCTCTGAAGGATAAAAATAACCAGTTTGTCCTATTTTCCTAATAATATATGAGAAGAAAAATATGAGTTCCTTGAAAACCAAAAGTTCTTTACAGATATGACATATTACCATTGTTGTCTTTAAGGGTAAAAGGCTATCTTGACCTTGAAAAGATAGATTGACTGATGATCCAACTCCTATAGATGGCTCATTTTCATTTGCTAATTCAATTAAATCTTCTTTCATCCATCTATTCAAGATATTGCAGATTTTCAGATACTATAGCCTTCTAGAGATTAGCAGAAAATAAATAGAATAATCATTTGCTCTAGAGTAATCTCATTCAGATTTAAGGATGTTCAATGACATACTCTATTCTTTGGGGATTTTTTTTAGGATTTCAAGCTCATTTCAAATTCCTACTTTCTTTAAATTATGCCACGCACACACACACACAAAAAAACTTTACCCACCCTGTTATGTGTCATTGTATAGGCTCTCTTATTTTTCTTCTTTACTCCTTGTTTAAATGTTTGGAGTTCTCTATTAGATTGGAGAGAACAATGACATAATTCCAGTAAATCTATAAATAATTATCAAAAATGGTTGATTTTAATAAATTCTGGAAGAGCAGATAATAAAAGCTGGGAGAGCAGAAGCTATTCCTTGACAAATTTAATTATAGAAAATAAGCTTTCAATAGTATTGAGAGTATTTGGAACAAAATAAAAGGAAATATTTTCACATAGGAGCATTTAAATGTATAAATAAATATGTAATAGTTGTTGAAATATATTAAAACATTACTAATTGCATTCAAGTAGACATCCCAAGTGTCTGAGAAGATTTAGGGAACAAATCATGCAAAATTTCTGACTTCCTTAATATTTATTACAATTGTGTATTTTATTTCAGGAAAAATTGCAAAAGATACTAGATAGCAGAATATGTCTATAAGAATCTCTACAGATTTTTTTAAGAAAGTGCAAATGTGTTTAATACATTTACAAATGTATGTTTACATGAAACATTTAAATTATCGTATGTATTAAAATTAGGTAAAAAGATGTACACAAAACAAAAATCAGTCATTTTATGATGAATTTTCTAGAATATACACACATTAACATATCGGTACATCAAAATTCATGGCTTATATTCCAGTATGTCATTTACAATTTATTCATTTATATTGTTTTATTTCACTTAGGAGGAAATGCTATTTTTTTCTGTTTTGAAAGTTATAATTAATGTTGAAACCTTCAAGAACAAAACATATTAGGACATTTAAACAACAGAATTAGACTTTGCATATTAGAGTAGTCAGTTTTCATATTCTATTAAATATATCATTATTTATTGTGTCTAAATACTAGTAAGTGAAAAATGGCTAACATGGCATGGACCATGTATTAAACCAATCAGGACATATCAGAATTCTCCGTGTTAAAAAAAATACAAAATCTACAAAAGCTAGAATGATTCTACAAGAAAATTTGACATACATTATCAATAACCTCAAATGAAGTAAGAACAAATCAGTCACAAGATTGGGAAGATTATTTTCCAGTCTATTGAGTATAAGGACACAGAAATTTAGTGTTTATTTCTGTTTCTACTGATGTATGATTTTCAGCACAAAATTTTAAAATTCAATCTTCCTGACATTATTGGATAGCTGCAACTGTGCATTTAATTAGTTATATTTACAATTCACAAGAAACAAATTATACTACATCTCATCATAACATATTATGCATATATACTATATATTTGTAAAGCCTTTTGTCTATGCATTTTCTTCTTCTTCTTCTTTTTTTTTTTTTTTCTCTTTTGGTACCAAGGAATGAACCCAGGGCCCCTGACCACAGAACCACACCCATGACAGGGTCTTGCTGAGTTGCTTAGGACCTTGCTAAATTGCTGAAGCTGACTTTGAACTTGCAATCCTCCTGCCTCAGGTTCCTCAGCTTCTGGGATTACAGAAGCTATCTGTTCATTTTCAATAGAAACATTACCATAGTCATTTTCCCAGCTCAAGAATTTGATCCTTCAGTTTTAGTATATTTCAAAGCCCAATGTGTCCCTTTCTATAATATCTCTGATTTCAATATACCAGATTGGATTTGACATCAGAAAATTTAAGTGTTTCAAAACATTAAAACATGTATTTTCACCACATTAAATCTTTGATCTCCAATACCCCAGATATGGCTGTGTGATCTATTCCTTTCTTGAGGCTTATAAGCATGTTTCATGTGTGACATGAGTCTCAGGATGACAAAGAGAGTCTATTCTGAACATCCAAGTCTCAAGCCCTCTACTACCACAACACAATAAATTCTTGGGGTATGGATTAGACTAAGGTTTCTCTGACTTATTTTAGCCACCCTCTTAGCAAGACTAAAAAGAATGTTTTGTTGTAAGCCTTAGAAGGTGAAAAGACTTGCAGATGCTTGCTCTCAGCCTCGAGGCCTCAACCAGCCTATACTTAGACCAATTCTGGGCCATGTGATTTGATGCTAAGCTCATTTCCCAAGCATACATCAAATGCATTTATTAAAGTGAACATGGATGTCTCTTTCACTTAGGTTCTTATGCTCAGAATAAAAGGCAATATTATTTGCTTGACAAAGAACATATTTTTCTGGAAATTCTGTGTAGAAAAGAGTTAATATAACAGGCCTGAGGTTTTCTAACCTTAGAAAGCCCTGCTCCATAGGTTGATCCCTAGCCAACACGAAGGATATCGGCAAGTAAAAAGTAGAAAGTTTTCCTTAAAGGGTAAGAGTAGCTAACTTTTCCTAACCCGTTTGTATAAGCAATATAATTTATTCTGAGCACCTGCTTTCTGGTATTGGGGTACATGCTGGGTGGAAGTTGCCTGTGTGACCATTCCCCAATAAAAAATTTTGCATGCTGAGCCTTTCCCAGTAGAAAACACTTCATATGCACTGGTACAACTCACTTCTGGAGGAAGTAGATGTGCCTTTGGTAAGTCCACTGGCAGAGGACTCTCAAATCTGGCACCTGGTTTCCTCTGGTCTTTGTTCCATTAACCTTTTGTCTTTGCTGACCTTGTTTTGTGTTATTTTACTATAATAAGTCTTAGCCATAAATTAAACTATATCCTGAGTCCTGAGTTCTTTTAATGAGTCACTGAACCTGGTTAATTTTGGAGACCCTAAAACATTCCTCATAAAAGGAAAATTCTGTTTTTATAAAGGGTTAGGGTCATTTGAGATTCATGATAATGTTGTCAATATACAGAAAACCTACCCCAAAATATTTGCTTTGTATACTTATTTTCTTAATGTCATTAACAGCTTATAACCATTCTAATTTGCCACTCCTCTTCCATTCCAACATCAAATTAGTCACTAAATCAATCTGAGCACTCTCAATTTTCAAAAGATATCTCCTACTCTTCTCCATGTATTTGCTCATTCTGTTCCCATTGTCTTTTTTTCTCCAACTCTCCGATTTGCAGAATCCCCCAAAAGCCACTGAGAGACAGGAAAGTGAAGTGGTGCTATGGTTTGAACATTTGTCTCATACTTTAAAAAATTAGTCCCCCAAATTATATCTTAATGGTATTTGGGAGTGGGAACCTTTGGGAAGTGACTTAATCATGAAGGCTGTAACTTCATGAATGGATCAATCCATCTGTGGATTAATGGATTAATGAGTTATAGAGGGAGTAGCTTTGTTTTGTGAGTGAGTTCTTTTGGGCGTAGCACACTTTCTCTTACCACCTAAAGTTATTTGTCACCTTAGAACTCTACAGAGTCCTCATCAGCAAGAAAAACCATCTAGATGAGGCTCCTTGGACTTCCCAGTCTCCTGAATTACATATGTAGTTCTTTTCTCTGTATATTACCCAGTTTCAGGCATTTTGTTATAACAACAGAAAACAGACTAAAACAATGGTTAATACATAGTTTTGGGGTCAAATCATATGGGTTCAACTCACACTACTTATTTAGCTATACAATATTAAGAAGTTATTTCACAGGTCTATAGTTTCCTTGTTTGAAAGATACATATAATTAAAAAGTCACCCTATGTTGTAGGTAATACTATAGTAGAACTACATGTTTTGATATGTATTAAGTATTTAAAACTGTTAGTGCATTGTAAATAAACATTACTTATGTATTTATAAAATAAATATACTGACTTCCTGATTGTCCCCAAAAAACATAATATGCTGCCTTTCTAATTGCTCTGAGGAATATACATCATGTGACAGTACATTGGAGATGACAGAGGAGACTGAGAGAAAGGAGCATTTTTTTTTTATGTCTTGAGTAGCTGCATAGAACTGGCCCTCCCATTTCCAAGAGCAACAGATACAATGGCAGAAGTTTCACTGTGCCTGATCTCAGGAATACCTCAGGAGGATGCAGTTTTAAAAGATCTGAATCCCACATCAAAATCTAACAAACACTACCAATTGCCTCAAAATAAATTCTGTACAAAAAAGGTCACATGTTAAAAAGTTAGCTTTAAGTCTGTAGGACACTAAAAAAATACAGAGTTTTAAGATTTCATTTTTGCATCCATAGTGTTTGAGTTATAAATAGCTTCTTCTAAATCCAATTGATGAGGGTAATTGGGCTTCTTTGCCCTCTGAACTCAAGTGCATTGAATAGAAACTAAAAACATAGCATCTTCCCACACTTCCTGCCATTCTGCTCCTAAGTGGCCCTTAAAAAACAACTCTTCTTTCTGTGTGTTCCCATCCTTATGATTCACACCCACCTCTGGTGTTCACCTCTTCTTTAATTTAATTATATTTGTGATTCATTAATAACCTCTCTACAATCACCCTTAGCTTTCCTTTAATCTCAGCTGCCAAATATGCTTGCTCCTGTGTGGGTGAAGTTTGCTGGAGAAAATATTACCACTCTGCAGAACACTGTAAAACCATGATCACCAACTTTATC